CAAAGTAATTCCACTAGTTAGTTGTGTTCGTGAAGTAGTGGAAAACATAAAGCCAAGAAATTAACCTATAATGGAATTCAAAGCAGAATTGAAGAAACAACTAGCTAGGTTTGATACGATAGAACATTCGTCAATCCTTGCCATCTCTACTACTCTCGAGCCCAAGGTTTAAGTTCATGCATTTCAAAGATGGATATCTCCCGATCGTTGCAACATCAGTCCTAAGCGAAAGATTATTTTCAGAAGCTGGGGCAACTGTCACTCAAAACAGAAACAGGCTTTTTGGAAAAAGGCTTTTCAAGCTTGATAAGTTGATTTGAAGCATGAAAAATCGTTGCAGGACCGTTGTTAACGTCATGGGTGGTTTTACTGACTATTGATTTGTGCAATTTAGCTATATTTTCACTTTTTCTTAAAAACACATTTATCGTAATTTTTACCATTATTCAACTTTTCGTCTTTAGGGCTCCCACCCTACCACGAGCTCATTTTCTTTCAAGATCTAACCGTAAAAGAGCAGTCTGATATTTTGAGAGGGTCACCATATAAGCTTGCTCTCGAAGAGTCACTAACGAATGTACCAGAGTGTTCTAAAACTAGATTCAAAATCTCTTCCTAAGAAGGCCAAGAAACCTTTTAAAGTGCCAAAGAAAATGCCAAAAAAAAGGTTTGGAGATACCCAGCATGTACTAAAATTTACATTAACCCCCCGCAGAAGACTGGATAGGATGTCCAAAGTTCTCTGAATGGTGGAATGAGGCTTGTACGACTTATGAGGGTGAAGGAATATTTATTTGTGACCTCTGCAAGTAAAAAAAGTAATGCATCGCTCGCGTACTCTTATCGACATAGACGCGTACTCTTATCCTAATAGTTCTTCTAAGAGTACGCAATTCTTATTATTTCGAGAAAAAAAAAACGCATTTTTTTATGTTATTTTATAAAAGATTATTAAATTGTACACGTAATAAACGCTTAGTTGATTTTCTAAACTTCATTTTTATTTATTTAGAATATTTTGAACCTTAAGTGCGTACTCCTAGACCACGTTACCCTAACTCTGCTGTATTGTATGAAACAACACCTATAAAGTCTCATTAACGTAAAAACAAAGAATTTCCAGAACAAAAAACACCTGAACTAGAATCATCTCAAAAATCGAACGACCAAGAAAGTATACCAAAGAAATCTTCAAAGTCTAGTTTGTTATACAGTCATCTTATAAATCAAACTACATCCGGGTATTCTAGAAGTACAGTCAGCCCTGCCTTTTCATCTTCAATAGTTTGTCCCCAGAATCACAACTGAAAGGTTACAAGAAAGGACTGAATAAAAAACGATTACCGGATGCAGTTACATCATTAGAATGGATACAGTATTGGAGTGAAAAAAAAAAGAACAAGAAGAAAAAGAGAATAAAAGAATAGCAAAAGAAGAAAAAAAAGAAGTTTCAAGAGCTAAACAAAATAGAGAAACCTAAAGCAAAACGTATACGAAAGACAGTACAATATAGGATAGATTCTGATTATAAAAGAAGTTCACTATAAAAAATATCTGCTCTTGTTTGTGAAATTTTTTTTTTTACTTTGAATATGAATGGTCAACTTATGGTACTAATTCGGTCAACAACTAGGGCTTGCTGGTCAAAATAGGGTGAAGCCCACTTATGGACTTATAATGTGAAATAATAAAAACACCATAAGGATTTAAGTGTTATTCTTTCCAATTATAATTGTTAAATAGATAACCTACATTATAAAAATATAAAAAATAGGAGGAAATAACGCAAACAGTTTAAATAACAATCTTTCAAAGTTTTTTTTTTTTTGCTTAAGTGGTTTGAGATTGGTACATTCATCCTATATTAAATTATTTATCGGTGAGCTTGTTTGAGTAGACATGTGATTCGATTGACGTAAATACTGTTTTACTTTTATATTTTAACATTGTAATGGAAAGCGACTTCATATTTTAATGAAGTCATTTTTCAATCTTGACGCTCTGTATGAAATAAAACAGGGAGAAAAAAACAGCCTTTGAGGAGTTTCTTGCCGGTTCTTCTCGGTACAAGGTTTCCCGCCGTAGATTTACGAACCGATGGCGTAGCTTTTGACTTTCACAAGTGCTTGTAACAGCTTAATCTGAATAAATAATTTTGATATTTGATCATGATACGACAGATCCGCGTCTTCAATGCGTGATTTGCTACGAAATATTAGCCAATGAAAGTATGCGCCCAAGTAAGCTGACAAGTCATAAAGAAACAAAGCATTCCCATTCTATAAACAAGCCAGTAGAATTTTTTCAGCAAAAAATTGTTGGAAATGAGGTCTTAACCTTTAACTATGGACGTGCGGACTCACAGGCCGCTTGCAGTTTGCGATTCTCGCCTCCCCCACCTCGCGCGTACCCCACGCGTATACCCGCGTTAGTAGCTTCGGTTTTAGTGACGAAACGACCGTTGAGAATGAAGGTAACGCCGGCTGAATATTGCGTAAGTAAATTCAATTTATAATTTGAGTGCGGTCTGTGAGACCGCGCGTCTACGTTTGTGTTGTAAATTACCGCTGACGGTGATTTTGTTTGTTTTAGATTTAGTAAGTCAAAATGTCAAAAAACGATCAATTTACGACTGCAGGCAAACGAACATCGAGTTCGTCGACTCAGAGAGCCAGTAAAATATTGCGATTAGATGATTCTACTTTTGAAGACGAGTTTCAACGATTGCTTTTAGAATCGGATCAGGGCGAGAGCGATGGGGATGTTGATGATTATTTGTTTTATGAAGCCGACATTGAAGAAAATCGTTTGAGTGAAGAAGAGATTATTGAAGTAAGGGTAGTACTTCCGGAGCTGACGGTGGCATACGGAGATTGGACAGTGAAAGTTCAGATAACGACAATATACCTATAGAGTTACGACCTTCAAAGTATTACTATGGTAAAAATCGCTACAAATGGGCTACAGAACCATCTTCCAGAAGAATTCGCACTCCACAGCATAATATTGTGTTGAATAGATCTATTTTGCACCTGACTGAAGACGAAGCGAAAGATCCTATCAGTATTTGTAATAAACTTTTTGATGATGAAATGCGACAAACTATTATGATTTGGACTAATTTCAAAATTGCTGAGCTTAGAGCCAAATATAAGCGGCAAGACAGGTCAGAATTAAAAGAAATGGACATGATAGAACTCAATGCCTTTTTAGGATTATTATACTACTCTGCTGTCTTGAAATCAAATCACGAATCTACTAGTTTTATATTTGCTACAGATGGAACAGGTTGTGAAATATTCAGGTGCTGTATGTCAGAAACCAGATTTTTAGTTCTTCTGAACTGCCTTCGTTTTGACAACCCAGCAGATCGCGCTGAAAGAATAAAAACCGATAAACTAGCCGCTATTTCTGGAATATTTGATAAGTTCATCGTTAATTCTCAAAAATTATATCAACTCAGTGAATATGTTACTATTAACGAGATGCTAGTGGAGTTTCGTGGAAGAAGCCACATGATTTCGTACATGCCCCAGAAGCCCGGTAAATATGGCCTACTTATTCGCGCCTTGTGTGATGCCAAGACCTTTTACTTTTATAATGGGTATTTGTACTCAGGAAAAGGTAGCGATGGCACCGGACTATCAGCTGAAGAGAAAAATTTTCTTGTTCCCACTCAATGTGGGAACAAGAAAATTTTTGACACAGCCGTTACAAAGAACCAATCGTAACGTGACAGCAGGTAACTGGTTCTCGTCTATTGAACTTGTAGATGAACTGTCTAAGCGTAACCTAACATATGTCGGAACTGTGAAAAAGAATAAAAGAGAAATACCGAATTCATTTCAAGCACAAAAGTCTAGAGATTGGTTCAACTTTATTCGGTTTTACAAACGACAAAACTATGTGTTCTCATGTGCCAAAGAAGAATAAAGCTGTGCTCCTGATATCATCTATGCATCATGATAATACAATTGATGAGCATACAAAGAAACCCGAAATGATTCTATTTTATAATTCTACCAAAGGGGGAGTAGATAAAACGGATAATAAATGTTCTATTTATTCAAGCAGTCGTCGAACGAGAAGATGGCCCATGGTGATTTTCTATAGAGTTCTGGACTTGTGTGGAATTAATGCGTACATTTTATTCAATCAACACTAAGACAAAGAACAAGACAGAGGTAAATTTCTAAAGAAATTATCACGATCCCTGGTGGTTCCACATATGCAAAGACGAGTTATGAATCCTCATTTGCCAAATGAATTAGTAATGACGCTGAAACGAGTTTTGGGCCCTGATATGCCGTTCCAAGAGCCACCAAGTGAAGAAAATATAGTTCCTAAACGTAAGACGTGTAAACTATGCCCACCAAAGATAAAACGAAAGACGACCCACTCTTGTGTAGGCTGTAAGCAACCAATATGCCTACAGTGCTCTAAGCCGTTATGCAAAGACTATATGAAGGGTACAGGGGCAAAACCAGGAATGTCACAAAAATTCAAAAAGTTTATTTTTGATGCTAATACTTTCATTTTCCCGTGTATTTTTATTTGACATTACACAAAAGCGTAAAAACAAGTATAGTCAGATGTATTACATAAATCTCAAAACTGTATACAGGAACAAAACAGGGAAGGTCCATAGTATAGATTTAAAAAGATTTTGTTCTGAGGGGGCTCAATCCCACTTTGAAGGCATTCCTCATTAATTAGTAAAATAAATATTAAGTTGGACATTCCTTGTATGGGACACAGTGGACATTACCAGTTTTTGTATGTTCCAAAAGTGAATTACTTTAATTTTTTTAATATTAAAATAAATACATTTTCATTTAAATATTTCATGTTCCTAAAAATAATACTTTATAAGGTAAACTAAAGTTCCTATTAGCAGTTTATAATTTTAAGTGACACTTAAGAATGTTTTTTGACTTTGTCAAATTAAAATGTTAATTACTTAATTTTTTAGTTTTTGTGACGAGCTTATATCGACGTATATGACAACGGAACTTATAGCAACCACTCAACTAGAAAACATTGACCCAAGTAATGAAAATAATTTCAAAAGTTTAGATGATATCTACCTTGGCTTGGGAGTATCTAAACAGTTTTCAACAAATGAAATATCAACAGAAAGAAAAATGGATTTCAAAAGAAAATGCCGAAATTTTTTGATCAAAGCGTGTATAGGCATTCGCAAAAGATTTGCACTAAATGAGCCAGTGTTGGTCGGAATATCCAAACTAAACCCCGCAAGTTGTCTCAATATCGCAGATCGAGATGAGTCAATTCAAAAGACACTAAACTTGATGCCAAGATTGGCACCGACTTCTATGGACGAACAACAAGCTTTGGACGATCAATGGCGAAAATTGCCAAAGTTAAAAGAACAATTCGATACAACAATACGGCCTGACGAATTCTGGCACAAGGTTTGTATCCAATACTTTATATTTATTATATAAATACTCGTTTAACTATTTATTTTGTTTGCAAAATACAATATTTTTATTTTAACACAAATTTTGTTTTTCAGGTGAAACAGTTGGAAGAGTTCAGCACGATTGGAAAATACATGCTCAATATCTTGGCTCTTCCGAACTCTAACGCGGAATGCGAGAGAATGTTTAGCCAAATTAACGACACCAAAACGAAGAAACGAAATAGATTAATAACTAGAACAATAAGAGGTAACATGTTAGCGCAACAAACGGTTAAACGTAATAGCACGAATTGCATTAATTTTAAACCAGCTGAGAAAATGATAAAGTTATTTAATTCGGGGATATATAAAACTGAAACGGCTATCGGACTAAATGACAGCGACAGTGAATGACAAGCGGTTGATTAGTAAACTAGAAAGTAAATTATCGCTTAAATTTAAATAATAAAAGTTTTTAATATCTACTGTAAAATTTACTGTATTTTATTTTTACTTCTACTGTAATTTTATTTCAAACACTGTATTTTTTTGCCCAGAACACTGTAATATCAGTTTCGTAATCTGGTAACACTGGGGCAAAGTGCCTACAAATACGGGAGAGTTGCGAAAGCGGCTTGCTCACGCACACGACGCCAGTCGCGCGGCGTTATCTGTGGGAGGTGGCTGTTTCGCGCCAAATTAATCTGACTCGCGTAATTACGAGGTAAGAAAATAATTTTATCTTTCATGGTTTTTTACAAAGTCAATAAAGCATACCGTAAACAAACGTTTAATTTTCATGTCATGTGGTTTTTGTTACTTTTAGGGAACATTTAAACTATAATTTTATTAGATAAGGGCATTGAGTACCCGTTACACAATAAGGCCTAGCTATTTTGTAGGCTTTGTTTCGTTCCCTAGTGTAAAATGTTGTCACATGGTTTAATTTCATGTTTATGACACGAAACAAATAAAAAATGAATAATCTCATAAACTGTCACGGTTTACATTAGGCCTTATTACTAACCCATAGGCCTTATTACTAACCCATAGGCCTTATATGAGGTCATAGGCTTTATTCAATACTCGCTCAAATCTTAAATATAGATATGTATGTTACACAGATTCGCCCAAACTAGTATGGCTACTCCAAAGAAAAAACGTGCTCAGTGGACAGAAGAAAATCTGGATGAGCAGTTAAAGAGGTGCGTTGTGGGAAAATGTCATCATACAAAGCTGCTACTTTATATGGGATTCCAAGAAGAACACTGAGAAACCACGTGAAGACTGGAAAAGTCGTTAAAAGCTTAGGAAGACACGCCACACTTACTAAAGATCAAGAAAAAGACTTCTGTAAACGAATCATAAGATTTTCGGAAATCGGAATTCCTCTTACCCCAAAAATGATTCGTATTCAGGCGTTCGCTTTTTGTGAAAAATACGATATACCCAATGATTTCAGTAAAAAGCTAAGGATTGCAGGAAAAGGCTGGCTTCGTTTGTTTTTGAAAAGAAATCCAGAACTATCTAAGCGTAAGGCTCAAATTTTGAATCCAGCCCGAGCCCAAAAATTAAATAAATCGATAGTCAAACTACACTTTGACGAGGTTAAAAAGATATATGATGAACTGGATCTTTACGAACATCCAGAAAGAATTTACAACATGGATGAGAAGGGATGTCGCCTTACGTTGCATCATCAGCAATCTGTGATTGCTCAAAAAGGCGTCAGAAGAGTTCACTTGCAAGCGGCAGAGCATGGTGAAAACGTTACAGTTGTTGGATGTGCAAATGCTGCGGGCAATGTGGTCCCACCCATGATTCTGTTTAAAGGAAAAAGAAAGAAACCAGAATTTGAGGAAAATTTACCTCCAGGATCATTAGTATGCATGTCTCCAAAGGCAAGCATGACCACAGAATTGTTCATTGAATTCATTCAACATTTGGGAAAAAACAAAACACCTGATAAAATTCTTCTAATTTTTGATGGAGCTAAATGTCACCTGGACTTTCGCATCGCCGAAGAAGCAGAAAAACTAGATATTTGGCTATATTGTTTGCCATCAAACACCACTCACGAATTGCAGCCATTGGACAAGGCGTGTTATAAGCCATTCGAAACCTATTGGGATCAAGAAGTAATGCAGTTTTTGTATGAAACCCGCGCCAAAAACATAACAAAGACTCGCTTTAACACGATCTTATCCAGAGTGTGGTCAAGGAGCATGACATCGTCCAACATAATCAGTGGCTTCAGAGCCACTGGTCTGTATCCATTGAATCCTGATGCGATACCCGAATCTGCTTTTGCTCCTTCAATACTGACGCAGCGCCTTTCACCTCCTGAAGCAGAAACTGATATAGAGTCATCACCCGAAGAAACATCATCTCGGCCTACACCACTGTCTTCTCCGATTGCAACTCTTGAAGTCCTACAAAATTTGATTGCTAAAGAACATCTCCCAACGTCACCTGCAACACCAGATCTGCAGTTCTTACGTGAGTCAAATATTGATGACGAAGAATCACATGACCCTAATGATTGCAATGAAGAATGTCATGCTAGTTCACCAAATAAAATAAAAACAGCATCAAAACCTTTATCAAAATCATTTGAAGCACCGGATCCCCAAATTATATTTGATATATCTTTAGCCGGACAACGCACACCTTTTCGTGCCAACACATCAGATGCCGTCGAAGCAGCAACAACTAAATCTCCAGCTAAAAGGCGTCTAGTGGACTACACAGATTCCGATTCCGAAGACGTCATCATGAAAGAGTTCATACACCGGCCTGTCAACTACTCAGCTTCTCATTCCGAAGACGACATCATGAAAAAGTTCATACACCGGCCTATCATACAAAAACGTCTTCCAATTTACTCATCATCTGATTCAGATATTATTGATGAAAATGTAGACCTTAACAACATTGTTGTTCCTCAGTCTTCAGACTTTGAAGACGAAGATAATCTTCCATTAGCACAACTAAGTAATAAGACTCCATTCCAGAAATTTCTGCCGACTCCTGATTATGGGATTACTAAAGACCGTCCAAGAAAGAAAGCCTTAAACTACAAAGGTCAAAGAATCACTAAAGATCTGTTTAACAAACAAGGCAACAGTTTAATCAAAGAAAAGAAAAAAACAAGCAAGCAACAAGTTCAAAAACGTACAAAGAAAGTATGCAAAAAAAATAAAAACCAAGGAACCAAACAAAGATCGCCAGATGAAAGATGGTATTGTAACGCTTGTCAGGAAGAAAGAATGGAAGATATGAGGAAATGCATTAAGTGCCTCAAATGGTTTCATGATGACTGCGTAGGGCTCACCAAAAATGATGGAGAAGTATTTATATGTCCTAACTGTGATGATTAAGTTTTGAGAGATTTTAATAGACTGATTACTGAGATTGATAAGAGTTCCTATATACTGCACTGACAGTTCTAATTTAATTAAAGTAGGTGTGATGATTAAGTTTTGAGAGATTTTATAGGACTGATTACTGAGATTGATAAGAGTTCCTATATACTGCATTGACAGTTCTAATTTATGGAGTGATGTTTAAGTTGTAGGTGTGATGCTTAAGTTTTGAGAGATTTTAAAGGAGTGATTACTGAGAATGATAAGAGTTCCTATATACTGCATTGACAGTTCTAATTTAATTAAAGTAGGTGTGATGATTAAGTTACTATCTATTATCTATCTAACTATCTATTATCGACCAGTTTTTTCCGGCCAGTTTTCCGTATCATTTTCAAAGGAAAATTCTCAAATTTGTCGCGAAAAACGTGGCCGGTAATAGATAAATGACTCGTGCAAAACAGCATCGCCATACAAGCATTTCCAAGGTTGGTATGGTGCTACCACTAAAAATCTAAACTAGCAAGGCCTACTCAAAGCATGGTATCACTAATAAGGCCTACAAGTATTTGAGCTGTAGTCAGGATGGGCCTTATAAGAGCAAGGCTTGAATAAGGCCTTTATGAAATTTATTTTTTTACATTTTGATTTGTTACTTTTGTTTGAATTTAGAATAATTTGTGTAATTGTGTTCCAATGAACCTATAATTTCGTTTTTATCTTGTGTTTTTCTGTGAAATTTGGTAGTTAAGTCTAATTAAGATTATTTTACTTGTTTTTGTTGAAATTGTGAAGCGATTAATAAATGACACTTAAGTACGGAAAAGAATAAACGTGATTGATACAAAAATATATGATTATTTGCATTCAACACCAGTAAAATTAAATATTAAGTTTGTAGGCCTTATTTGATAAGCGTGATTTATTAAGGCCAAAACTAACAGTTTTGTATTTTGATTGTTTGAAAGATTTAAACTAAGACAATGAGTGTCATTCTTTAGTATGTTGTAGAAAACTCAACAATGGTTGGTATTGACTGGTGCCAGACAATATTTACGTATGCGTTACAGAAATATGGAAGTTTTAATTAAGGTAGGCCTTATTTGTCGGCAGTACCTTACTTATAAAGTGATATCAAACTAAAAAGTCTGAAAAGTGCCTTTGATTGTTATATCGTTAGATTTAGTTTATAATAAATATATTTTTCATTAAAATTACTTCTTTTATTTATATTTAGTAACTCTCTTAAGGGATAAAAACAAAAAATAATACAATACTTACTCATCAAGATAAAAACCAGCCCGTAAATGTAGCGGTCTGTGAGGCCGCATTCCATAATAGTGTAACAAAAATGGAACGTCCATAGTTAAAGGTTAAAAAAACATTGTTTCTCGTTTCATTAATTAATGAAAATTCTGTAAATGCATCGTACCTCATTAGCTTAAGGATCGCCAGAGCAGGAAAGGCTCATATCATTGGTGAAGACTTAGTATTACCATCGACCGTTGGAGCGATGTTTGAAGAAAAAGAAATAAAAGAAATCGAGCGCATACCACCATCCAATAACACAGTAGCACAAAGAATTGACGAAATAGCTGAATGGACAAAAGATGAAATATTATGCTCTGCAAACTAGATGAGTCTACCGACATGCAAGGCCTAACTCAATTAATTGTTTTTGTACGTTATATATGGCAAGAGTACATGTATGTCATGAAGATATGTTGTTTTGCAAGCCAATTACTCGTGGAATGGTCGAGGTAGTTTTCAATGTAATTAATTCTCATATTAATTATAATGGTATACAGTGGAAGAACTGCGTCATTATATGTACTGACGGTGCGCGGGCAATGTGCGGGAAAAATAGAAGTGTGGTAACAAGAATTCTTGAACAAAGTCCCTGTGCTTTGTGGACACACTGTAGCCTTCACAGAAAAGCACTGGTTTCCAAAGCATTACCTGATGATTTTAAAATAGTACTAAATACAGCTTACAATCTCGCTTATTTCAAAAGCTGTGTGAAGAAATGGGTAGCCTTCATTCATCTCTTCTTCTGCATACAGAATGCTGGTTATCCAGGGGAGTACGTACTGACACGATTAGTGCAATTACGCAATGAAGTTGCAATTTATTTGGAAGGAAAAACTGAATATATTGAACATTTAATCAACGAAGAATTCATTCTCGAGCTCACATATGCAGCGGATATTTTTTCGAAGTTGGATGAACTTAATTTGTATTTGCAAGGTTCCAACGGAACAGACATTTTTGCAATTCACGATAAAGCTCGCGCATTCATGAAAAAACTTTTGTTGTGGAAAAGCTGTATTGAGGGAAGAATGATTGTTTTGAAACTCTAGAAACTTTTATTATTGACAACCAAGTGCAGCCAAAGATGAACGTAGTATCTGCAAATATCTACCCATTTATCATTATTAAAAAAAAACTTCAGGGACTATTTTGATGAGGAGATGAAAAAGATCGACTTGGTAAATTGGATTTGTAACCCATTTCAAGACCACCTACCAACTGGTATATCAACAAAAGTAAGTGAAGAACTTATTGATTTATCGGAAGATTCGTCACTAAAAAAAGTTTCAATCCTAAGCAGTTAACGAAATTCTGGATGTCGCTTGCCGGTAACTATCCATGCCTGTTTGATGAAGCTATGAAAGTTCTCCTTTCTTTTACTACCTCATACCTATGTGAGGCCGGATTTCCCAATAAGGTGAACATTAAAACTTCATACCGAAATAAATTGGACATATCAAACTCACTGCGATTAAAAGTAACTCAAGTTGAAGTTGATGTTAAAACTGTAATGGCGAAACATAGAAAACAATTTCATTCATCCCATTGAAATAACTTGTTCGATGTATTTATATAATTCAGTAATAAAAAATTGTATTTAAACTTTGTTTGTTATTTGAAAAGTCCTTTTTTGATATTGGTAACGGTTCAATTTCCTAGAACTGGGTCACGAGTTCGGGAACTTGTATTAGATGGGTCGTAGCCCAGAAAACTTTGGGAACCACTGCTCTATACCTAAATCCTTCAAACGCTGGGACCAGCCTTGCGATAAATCCTTTGCAGCTGACGTATATTACTGTCATTCAAAACTACGACGAATTTAACATTTTATTTTTAATCAAGATAAAAATTACTGTTTATACAAATCAAATAAAAAAAATCAGATGATCTGAAATTTGTACAAAAAAATTACGTAGTATTTGCATCTGCTGAACATTTTGAGAACTTACAACAAATTGAGACCACGAATACGAAACAATATTGTAAACTATATTTCGAAACTTTGTCTTCAATCCTAAAGATGAAGTTTCACTACCACAAAATGGTACAAAGCTAATCGCTTTTTTTAATTTCGACCAAATAAAGACATATTTAGAAAACTAAAATATATAATCATATAAATGAATAAAATTAATAATATTATGTTGCAAGCGGAAAAATCAAGTACATGGATTCTAAACGGTGGAAAAAAATCTTTACATTGGGAACGACGCCATCTATTGTCGCTAAAAGATACCATCGGACAAGTCATCTCCTCAACCGACATTAATTTAGACAAATAAAATGTATTTTGAAAAAGTTAATGAACCAAATCCACCATTGAATACTTTAATATAACATCATAGACGCAAAACTATTATAAAAGAATGTGGACAAAAATCGATAGAAATAATAGAATCATAAAATATAGAACACTAGCGACATCTGCTGAATGAATGAAACCATGACTTTTTACCTAACATGAATACCTAACTTTAAAAACATTGGTTGTTTTGTCATATATCCTGCTAAAATTTACATATTTTATGCAGAAGGGTAAAACTGACCTTGACGAATTCCGCGATAAACGGCTAGTCTGTTTTAGAATAATCCCCCAGAAAACTAGAAACATCATTAATTCAACAAGTCAATTCAACAAACAAGTCAATAATTCATTTTGGATTGAAAAAAAAAAAATTTTTTTTTCATTTATTTTCATTGGGATTGATCGGGTATAAAAAAAACAATGCTACAAAACTACATGTACTTATATAATATAATCCTAACATATATACAACTTTACATCTATTATTTAGAATGCATTCTTTGTCACACCGTGTGTATATGATGGAAATGGATGAAACTCAACTACACTTTTATCAACGAAAAAAAAACTATTTCGGTACATTTTTTATCAACAATAAAACATATGTAAAACTCTATAATTATATGCAATCGGGTCTTGTTCGTGCATTTTTTAAAAACAATTAATTTACCTCGACGTTTCGGCTACGTTACAGCAGCCGTGGTCACGAGGAGACTGGAGAACTGGCGGGTGTCGTCTTCTGATTTTAGTTGAGGGTAATCCGGTAATAATGTTTTAATGGTAAAAATATTATATGTAAAACTCAATATATAAAATATCCGTAGTTGATTTTGAACTCTAATATCGATATATTAAAGTTTAAAAATAAGTAGGAAAATTATAATACGATTTTGTCTGCTCCCGCGTTTGTTTTATCGATTGAAATGTTTAAAATCGATTTCTTAATATACAGATAAATATAATCATATTGATTTGTATAATAGACTCATATTTTCTTGTTTTTCCCGTCGATATTAGCGCTTTCATCCATTTCCAGTGTGAACGAAGTATAATAAAAACACACTGTATATTAATATATACAAGACCAATTATCTTCATAATACTACATATATTCTTCAGAGCGAGTCCGTACACAAGTAAAATCAAGAGATCTAATACATTGCAAGCGCAGCAGCGCCAAACACATAGATTTCATTATAAATTAAGACAAAACACTACAAATTATTAAATTTATTGCAATCAATTTAAAACTCTATGTTGGAGATAACTGTTGAAGAAATTCAACCTTGGATTCAATTCTGTTTAAGTTAACTTAATTATGGCGTGTCAATGACGTTTCAATAGAAAGAAAGAAATATACATAATTGAGCAAAAGAAGCTTTTTTGAGTATCTGTCATAATATATTCAAGACGCCATTGTACTAAAGAAGCCAATGTTTGTGAGGAAGATAATGCAGTGAAAAAATACAATTAATTGAAACGCCATTGAAGTGTAATCATTACGTTAACCTAAGCAGAATTGACGGCCTGATTATAATAGATAGTCAATTATTCGATGGGAAAAACTATCGACACTATCGATCTTCAATCTCATCACTATCTTTTTTCTCATCACATTTTCAATTATCGGTAACTACATTAAGCAACATAAGTTGTACTATAACATGGATGATCGAATCATATCCATCTCGAGATCATCCTACTATTCCAATAATACTAGTATACCATGTACCTGATGATTTCCTAATCTTTCTCTGCATTAACTTCATTCTTAGGAATATTTGTTGAGCAGAAGAAGCAATTGCAAAGTTGAAGATGCATTTTGATGTTAAGTTCTAAGTCAAAGCTGGATCTGGCGGTGGCGCCATACAGTTGCCGTCCGGATATCGCTTCTTGAACGCGGCTATTAACTCTGGATCCACTAACCGGACGCCGTCCACTTGATTCCCCAAAGTTATCCTACAGAAAAACACTCACAAAAATTAACGATTTATCACATCAAATATTATATATTTAAATATATTAAATTTCAATTCAAAACTTGAAACTAGATACAACATTTCCAACATAAATTCTTACTTATAAATGTTCAATTTTGGAATTTACATAACATCTAGGGATGCTAGCGCTCCAACCGGCTTTAGAGATTTTTTGCAAAGCTTTAGATTCATTGACCATTCAATCATATCGTGCTGCAAATGCTATACATGGCCGAAATCCATGGAAAGCTCTTTCGGCGGTTTTCTTCATGATCGATGACAAGTTATAGCTATTAATGAGTACCTTTCTATCTGAATACCAGTACCTTCTGGAGTGTCTCAAGAATCCTTAATTGGACCGCTTTTGTTTACTTTTCTTAACCATATATGATGATGATACTAAAATATTTATTTTACCCATACTCTTTTTCGAGAAGACCTCAATAGATTTGATAATGTCTTGTTTTTTAAACAAAATTTGATTTGACCATATCTAAGAACTATACTATGACTTATTCGCAAATGATAAAATTTAATTAAAAGATGGTGTTGGTGCTGGTATTTTGATAACACTGTTTACATAAATACATATGTAGATAAAATTGTAAAGTAAGAATTTTTGTAACCCTATCTGCATAATGTAACATTCACTAGAATGCTCGTAACAAAACAATGTTTCTCAGGTGCTGTCACTAGGTGAATATTTGCCTTTTTAAATTTTTGAACCCTACAACCACCAAGATGAGACAGTACAACCCCAATTTATGATTTCACCAAGGGAAGCCATTTAGAAGCCCCCCGGGACAGGAGTCCCGGGGCGGACCACCCCTCAGCCCGCCTTTTTGGTCCGCCACTGATCAACAGCCTATTAATGTCCCAAATACGCAGGCCTTCCCTATGGATGGAATGGCATCGAATTGAAAAAAATAAAATTCATCAAAAAACTCAAAACAAATTTACGATTGTTTCACCAGAACACCAAATACCATATATAGGACTAACACTAAGAATGTGATGACGCTTTTGTTTCAATTTTTTTCAAGCTTCACTGTGCATGTGATGTTTCCTCCTGTGTTTTTTAGTTTAAAAAAGAAGCGTAATAATTTACGACGAAGAATTAATTGAATGTTGTCAAGCTATGTGGATCAAACAGTTAAAAGAAAATATCACATGCGCAGAGACAATTGAAAACAAAAAGATCAAATGTTCGTAAATCTAATGTAATGAAAAATATAAGAAAAAACGAAACGCTGTTTAAATTTGTAAGATAATGTAAAACAAATAAATATGCTAAGTCTATCGGCGTCTTAAATAAACAAAATAAGGAGTAAAGAATAATCTTTGTTAAATTAACAGGAACAAGTGCAATGTAAAACGCTACAATATAATTTCAATTTTCAACTCACCAATTAGGTTGCACGTTGTGTGGTCTACCGAACAGCTCAATTTTTCTCGTCCCAGGGCTTAGCCTCTCTGTGAAATAGTTTGACCGTTCACTACATAGTAATTTCACGCAAAGAAATTATTCCATTTTATCAATTAAAACACTCCGGTTTCAAGGTGTCGCCATCTATGAGGTATGAAGTTCGATTCCCGGTCGAGTAAATGTAGAAAATAACGTTTCTATATTATCTCGGGTTTGGGTGTTGTGGTACCGTCGTTGTCTCAGATTCTCCATGATGTTGGTTAATTTTAATTTAATATTATCTAGCTAGCATTGGTATACTAGATGCTCTTTATATTCGGGGGGCTTGTCAATCTATATCATGGGTGGCCAAACAGTCGATCGCGACTATTAGTCCAGTCGATCGTGGCAATTCAAAAAATATAAATACATAGTGTACGAACTATGCTGTTTCATTTAAGATTTTAAGAAATAAAGTAATTGGTAGATCGTACTGGGCGTCGTCAGTGAAAAGTCGATCTTAGTTCTTAACAAGTTGCCCAGCCCTGATCTATAATATAGGTTTAACAACCTTAACATGTACCAGTTACCCATGAGTGTTCTACTTTTTGAAATACACTGTATGAGTTATTTATTTATATTACGTCATCTGTGAGAGATAAATAATTATATCATTAATGAAAAATGCTTAAAAAATCCACGTTATCTCTTAACTGTTACTCTTTTAAGCATTTTTCATTAAGAATATCTTTTAAATATTTCTTGCGCCAGTACTTTCGGCTGTCCGTTGATATATAAGTCAGTCAGGTTTGTCTTTTATATTTACATTAAATTGAATATCGATTCATACCACGACACAGATATAATTCCAATAGTAAACAATGGTTACCTTGGTAACGTTTTAATTAACGTTTTTTATACAAACTTCCACTCCGACTTTCCCTTTATTCTTTTATTTGCTGATATATAATAATTTTGTTTATTTAACATAAAAATTTACAGACAATAGTGACTATCTTAAGAGATTACAACGGTTTCACTAACCATCCACCTCTCCAAAACTAAAGTCAACCTGAATTTTGGGAGTTGCCTAGCGGTGGATAATACCTAGATTTTAAAGTATGGGTATATCGATATTTAATATCGGATTCTGAAACTACTACAGTTTTTTAAACAATATATGTGTGAATCGATCTGTATTCGGTAACTTCAATCCATCGTGAACACAATCGCAAACAAGTAGGTAGCAAAACAAATCAAGCAGCGGTAAACCTCTTTTTTTATTAATCGCACGCCGGTTTATTTTCCCGCGCATTCATTTATTAGCATAGGACGGGAAAAATAAACCGTCGTACGATTAAGTTGCATACTTATTCACAAGCATGCTCTTTTCTTATGCTTCGTCCCAAGTAGCACATAAATAATATATTAACTAAAATAAGTATCGATTTATGTCCTAAAGTCATACTAACATTTTTAATCAGCACTGGTCAAGTTTCGAATCTGTTTAAAGGCATATACTTTATCTAATAATGCTTAATGCCATATTATGGTTAATAAAAAAGTATACCAATGTCAAAACTCATATTTAAGTAATGGGTAATATTAATATAAAGTTGCTATCGTATTTCGGTGATATGAAAAACATTATATATTATAAAAGCATTAACATAATATTATTTAGTGCACTTAGTTGTATTTAGTCATTTTCTAGAAACAAAGGTTTTCTAATGGCCTATGGTTGTATCGATTTAATGCTTATCCTATATCCTAAAGAACAAGTAAAACTTTAGCACCGATTTATTCTTAAAGTATTCTTTAATCAAGCTCAAGCTCCTTTCTCTTCATAATCTATGCTTTTATCAAACATTAGGCTATATTTTGATCAATATTAAGTTATTTATAGAGATACAAGTCATAAATAGATCGTAATTATTTTTTATGTAAAATTAAAATGTAAAATTATTTCATGTATTGTATTGTAATGGTGGCATTTTATACGCATCGCTGACGCCATGGACAAAAAACGTTGGGAAAAACAAAGTTAGTTGTCTCTGTTCACCGCATATGGTGTAGCATCGCGAAGTTGAAAGAATTTTCAGACAATCAAATCTTTCCTCTTTATCATATTAGTATAGATAGATATTACGTAACACTCACCTATGATGCCGTATATCTCGTCTGGTTTGTGCGAGGTGGCGCGAACTTCGGCCACGATCACGTCGCAGTCCAAGCCACGGTTCAAGTTCTCGGGATTACCTTTCATGCCGACCTGCACAAGACGGGGATTAAAAACATTTTAATACCCTACCCTGCCATTTTGTTAAAAATCCAAACCCGAATACGAATTCACTCAGGTATAAAGAAATATAAAAAAAAAAAATTCATACAATAAGTTAAAATCTAAAAATAAATTCAATTTTCATAATTTCCAACGCCAACTTCTGTGATGACGTCGCTTTGACGTCACGGCACTCTGACACGAATATCGTTCTATGTATGCATAAGGTTGAATCCTCTAAGTTCTGATAAAAGAGGGGCGTGACGTCATCAGCTGTTTGTGGTCACGTGACATCGAGTAAAAAATATTTGTTTTTTTTATTCATAATTAATTAAAGAAATATTATAAATACAATAAGCATAAAAGTGTGATTATCGGTAATAGTATATTAAACACTACTAGAAAATAATAATAATTATAATATGTATTTATTTTCATTTACTGTCTATACCCGTATTAAATAGATTCGTATAACCGTTTCAAATGTCTCACCAGACAATGTTCTTTGCCGTGATTGAGCCAGTGTCCGGTCCGTCCGGTTCGTATGATCCGTTGGAGCTGGTTCGTCTTCACCCAGATCAGTTCGTCCACTCGTTCGTAGCCCCAAAGCTTCAGACACTCCCTACCCAACTCCATCGCCCTATACATAAATAAATACATTTGTTGACTTACTATAAATAAATACATTTGTTGACTTACTAACATTACTACAATACATTATCATTTGCTTTTTTGAACTTATGTTGATGATTGTACATATGTGCTGTATTTATGTATAATACAAATCTTATTCTTAAATAACCCTGTATATTAATGAAAGCTGCATTAAAATTCGTCGTGCATTTTAAACGATCTCAACGTACAGACTGCGCGAAGCCTAATTTACTCCATATGACATAAGTTATCTGCTAGTAAAAGTCCCGTCAAAATCGGTCCAGCCGTTTCAAACAAACAGACAGACAGACAAAAATGTAAAAAATATTTTTTTGGGTATATGTACCGTAACATAATAAACACACATGCATTTTAGTAAAATGCGGTTATTTAAATATTACAAACAGACACGGCAATTTTATTTATTTGTATTAGTAGGGGAGCCCAAGCGGGGATTTCGGGATTTACTAAAGCGCGGCAGATTAATATACAGGGGGATACCTTGTACCCAGTTAAGTACCTGGACCAAGTATGAGCCCTATAAAAATGGCCACCCGGCAAGGACGAAGGATCAGATTAGTAAAAAAAAAATGATCATCTGAAAATCTCGAGCGCGTCAGATTAAGGTAAGGTGAGCTAGTTACATGCTAAAATGTGTACATACCTCTAATCTGACAATTTGAGAGTGACGTAAAGAAAGGGGAAGGCTTCAAAGTTGTAAAAAAAAACGTCACCTTGACGTTCTCGAGCGTGGCTAATTTTTTTTTATTTTGAAGGGAATCTATCAAGGATTACGAAAAATATATAATCTGACGATTGTCACAAGCCGAAGTAATAAAAATTCATCGATAAGATTTAATGCGTTTAAGCTACGTGATACCTATATTTCCTTCTCCGCATCACTATTTCTCTCTCTTTTTCTGTCTATTTCTCTCTCATTCCGTCCCCACTCTGGTTTCGGTTGCCACGACGCCATGACAGCTGATGACACAGACTCGTTCGTGGCGTGATATTGTTTACATCGTATTTCCAACGTTTTTGCTTATTTTAATGTAAATTTTGTGAATTAAACGTTTTACATATTTACTAAGAAAAGAAGAGGAAGATGATTCTAGCGATGAAGATGATAATTAATAAAAAATACTGTAAAAATTAAATTTTCATATAATCATTTTCTTATAAATATAAGTAGTTTACATAAAAAAAACATACACTTTTTTATTTGCATGCTAACTCCGGTGCTTTTCTATTTAATTAAGCTCAAATATTTGAAAAAATTAAAAAAACAAATTTTGTGTCAGTTTAAGTAAATCCCTTCAGATAATCGTCAGATTATGAGATTATGATCACGTCTGGGGCATAAAGATGAACCATATATATCTTAATCTGACGCGCTTCAGTATTTCAAAATGACGATTTTTTTTGCACATTCTAATAATGGTCACGCGTTTGCGTCACATCCAAATCGTCAGATTATTATATGAGAGCTTTTTTTTAGGTTTACTTGACATCCCCTCAAAAAATCTGACGCGCTCGATTAAATTATTTTTTTTTTCATTTTCAACCCTTACGTATAACCACCCCCATCATGGAAACGATCAGATTAACATACGACAGTTTTTAAAATGCGTAGGACATGGATGATATTAATATCTGACGCGCTCGAGTATGTCCATACAACAGTTTTTTTTTTTACAATTTTAAAAATCTATAGCCGCTTTCCCCACCGATGAAAAGGTATATATTATATGAAATTTTTTTTTTGTTGTCATCTAAGCTTCGCAACCCAATAGGTCTCTATGACGCTCGAGTAAATCCCGATTTAGCATCGTGGGTTCCCCTACTATATAGATTACCTGCCAGTGACCCAAAGGAATATCAGCCCGCTGTCCTGGAGCTGCGGGATGCCGAGACACCTCATCTCGTCGTCCGACATGGTGCCGTATGGCAATTCCATGTGAATGTCCCACGGAGGATCGGCCATTATCACAGCGAACTTACCTGCACACCCACTGAACTGTGTATACAAACGTGAAACTCGAATAACGATTAAAATTATACTATTTAGAATATGAGTAGCTCGGTGGCGTAGTAGAGAAGCGCCGCGGCCCGCGATCGTAGTCGTTAAGCCACTTTCGCAAGGGTCGGTCACGGGATGGGTGACCAAAAAATTATTATCTCGAGCTACTCCGTGCTTCGGAAGGCACGTTAAGCCGTTGGTCCCGGCTGCATTTGCAGTCGTTAATACCCTCCAATCCGCATTGGGCCAGCGTGGAGGGTCATGGCCCATCCTCCTTAACCATCCATAAGGAAGGCCTGAGCCCCTGCAGTGGAGACGTAAAAGGGCTGATGATGATGATGATGATTTAGAATCGATTTATCACCGGACTATTAACTTTTCCACTGCTGGGACACATAACTCCCCTATAGATGGAATTGAACGGGGATATTAGGCCCAGTGCGGGTTGATGGTCGTTAACAAGTCTTTTGAAGCTCGGAAGAGGTTTCCGTTTTTCTAGTTTATTTGATCGTTACATTTGATGGATGAAATAGTGGATTATAATAATTGTTTATTTCACTACAAATAAAATCGAAGAGCAATCAAAAACAACATTCATTTTATGTAATTGAAAACATCGACCTAACAATTCTAAAATTGATGCTTTTCAATTGTTTTAGCATTGATATTTCTCTAATATCGAACATCCTTTAATTGATTACAATGAGAAAGTATTAAAAAAAAAGAAAGCACTAAAAAGGCACCTCCACTAAATGGCGACTCTAGCAAAAGTTGATTTTTTCAGGAAACAAATGGACCAAAGATAGTCATTTCAGTTCCTTTTTAGTTAAAAACTTACATATTAAAAAATTGAAATTTGCAATGTTTGAAACTTAGATATCAATACGAATACGAAAAAGGACAAATAGAATATGAGTTGTTTATTGAGTTTTGAAAACTAATTCACTTTTATATAAGAAAGAAAACCGGAAGGGTTGGAGAATAGAGATGGAGAAATGAAGAAAGTACCGTAGCGGCATCTAGTTTGATTTCGGGAACTAATGTTTATTTTTAATAGTTCCTCATTACTAAGACTATTGCTATTGCTGTCAGAACACAGCAATAGACAGATAATATACATAGTTTTAGTAGAACATAGTTTTTAACGTTTTATGAAATTCATATATATCAGCCTTTTTACGTCCCCACTGCAGGGGCTCAGGCCTTCCTTATGGATGGTTAAGGAGGATCGTCCATGACCCTCCACGCTGGCCCAATGCGGATTGGAGGGTATTAACGACAAATGCAGCCGGGACCAACGCTTTAACATAAATTTGCAATTTTTCAGGTGGTTAAAAATATAGTGTTAATTTTTTTTTAACAATTATAAATTCAGATGCACGCTAGTGGCTTATTCCTAGCATTCTGTTCATTGATTATAATATATCTCTGTCGCTTTCTGTTTAAAACAAAATCAATTTCAATAGTTAATTGGTTACCTGACTATTTTTAGGAAAGTATTTAGAAACTTTCGTTTTAAGTATACGTTAAAGCGTTGGTCCCGGCTGCATTTGTCGTTAATACCCTCCAATCCGCATTGGGCCAGCGTGGAGGGTCATGGACGATCCTCCTTAACCATCCATAAGGAAGGCCTGAGCCCCTGCAGTGGGGACGTAAAAAGGCTGATGATGATGTTTTAAAAACTTTCATATACATATCAAACCACTATCAGATTCATTTAAATTGTAACGTGAAAACAACCTGTCACATGACTTCCAGCAGTGACGTCACATTCAATAAACGTGAGTACTAGTTGCACTCGCAACAAAGACATTGACATTTAGTTTATTGAAATGTGACGTCACATGGCCTCCCGCGTTCGATTCATGTAATCCACAATTTATAAATCGCAAGTTATTTTTGCAAAAACAATAAACACTTATGATTTATTATAATACAAAAAATACTGCATAATAGGGCATTCTACTCTGTATGAAATAATACTTGTACTTTTTACAGCCGCGAAAACGCTGTCCGCCATATTCATGACGTCATTGTAACATGTACACAAAACAGATGCATATAGTAGAAGATTAAAATATGTCAATAAAACAAGAACAATGCCATCTAACGATAAATTACGAAATAATAAGATATAAATAAGCGCTATCTAGGAATTTCACTTTAAGCATATCTTTATGACTGATCTGACTTAAACTACGCAACGGATTTTGATGCGGTTTTGTTTCATAGATAGGGTTATTCAAAAGGAATGTTTTTATTCACAATCATACAAAGGATTGTAAAATACGAGACCACTCGGAAAGCTAGTGTTTAATAATTTGTTGTTATAACTGTCGACTTGTAAATTTCATATTGTTGTCTCAACTTCTTACCTAAGAATGTCATGTCTAAATATCGCAAGTCGCACTGAATCCACTGGGGCGGTGTTAAGGTCAACACTCCGTCGGGTTTCGTCACAACGCTTGTACCTGTTTAAACAATCATTATTATAAAACGAGGACTAACTTTAGTACCAGGTTTAAACCATTAGCCGACCAAAACAAGTAAACAGGCTACAATTTGACATTTTCTCTTCTGTCATTGTCAATTTGCTTTAGGCGGCCTATGGTTTAAAAGAAGTGCTAACTTTAATTCTCGGTTTATAATCAGAGTTATAATATCTTAAAAATAGCTTTAGGTATCTAGAAAAAGCCTAGAACTTGTGAATGTTTAAATTTTTTTTTTTTATGGGATAGGGGGCAGACGAGCAGACGGATCACCTGATGGTAAGTGATTACCGTCGCCCATGGACACCTGCAACACCAGAGGGGCTACAAGTGCGCTGCCGGCCTTGGAGGGAAGGGTTGAGGGGTAGAGGGTAGGAAATAGGGAGGGGTTGGGCCTCCGGTACCCTCACTCACACGACGAAACACAACGCAAGCGTTGCTTCACGTCGGTTTTCTGTGAGGCCGTGGTATCACTCCGGTCGAGCCGGCCCAATCATGCCGAAGCGTGGCTCTCTCACGGTTTAAATTCATAAAAAGTAATGTAAAAAAAGATAAAGAAAGCTTTCATTGGCAGAAACATGACGATATGAGGCACTCGAATAAACTGATGCGAGTCTGAATTATTGATAATACTATTTTAATGAAAAAAGATGTCATAAAATGTGTTAAGTTTGTTTATGTAATTTTTATTTAAACTGTATATTGACAAAAATAATTATCAACCTCAAGGCATAGTAGGCAAATATAAGTAGCAACATTATTAAAGACGTGTATACGATTTAATGTAATAAAAATAATATAAATGTTTGAGCACTGGTTATAATTTTTTCCTGTTTAAAGAGAGATATTCGAATAATACTTTACCATTTTGAGAAGTCTTCATTGATGAATCTGTTGATTTGCTGGGGTTTACATTTGGGTCCGTGTTATCCACTTCGTAGTGAACGTATCTATGAAGACAATATAATTAAATTAATAAATAATATACAGATTGATACTATAACTAATCCGTCTGTTATTTTATTTTATTTTGAAAAACGGATAAACACACAAAATGTGAGTGTTGAAAGTAGACGATATGTATCGTTAGCAATACAAATCTGTATCGTTTCCACATACTACTATTGTATCCATAAAAAGGGCAAAATAAATTTTTAATCAGTAATTTTAGAGTTTCTATATTTCATGATTAATGTATTGTTTATGATGTTATATTATATTGTTAGTTATTTTTTTATTATAACTGTCTTTGTTTTTATAAAGAGTGATCTATTAATAAAGTCAGTTGACATATAATAAGTTCCACAGATGTTCATTAAGGTTTAATGACGCCTTTAAGTTTTAATGAATGTCAAATATGTATGGGTAATGTCGCTTTTAACTAATGAAACTTTTAATGGACGTTTCTGCAACTGGCTGTATATGACATATAATTAATATTAATTGTTAATACTAATTTGGTAAAGCATGATTTTTGCAAATGCCCTTTCTTTTGTTTGAGCTGGTGAGTTTCTTTGGCTCGTATTTTTTTACCTGAGCGAGTGGTAGGTTAGGAAAAATATTGGACAATCCAAAAGTACTGTTTATAAACACAAATTTTACTTTGAAGGAAATTTCACAACAAGTGCAGTGCTAACTGATGCAGTGGATGCTTTTTCTTTTTATTTGAAGAATGAAATTATTTTTCGCTCTACAATAATTCTCAACACTTACTTGCAACTATCCATATGGAAGCACGTGTTTAAGAAAGAGCAATCCCCTAGCGATTCGTCCGTGTGACTCTGTATGATCTTCTTGAAGTGTAGTTTCTTACATACATAGCCGGTACTGCCGGTCTCCTTCTGTGCAGTGAACGCTCTCATACATTCTGCACGAGTACCGTGCGGACAGAATTCCATCACTTGAGCACCTATACACAATTAATAACTCTAAATAATATTGACGGACTAGATTAACTTATTACATGAAAAATGCTTAAAAATTCACCAGAGTCACCCCGAGATGATCAAATTAAAAATATTCCGTAATATAAATAAATATTCTAACCATCGTGCTACCCTTTTCATTACTAGTGAGTGTATTTTCATTGATGTTCAGCAATCCAAAGAGTTGAAAGAAATATTGTAAACTTTTCATTTAGAATCACTTGTTTTTATTATTATATTATATAGAAAATGTTTATAAATTCATCAGTCCCAAGCACCCTCAGATGGTATAGATAAATAAATATTCAGTGAATAATTTAAAGCATTTTTCATAAAAAAAAAAAATTAACAAAAGATATTGTGTTGAGAGTTCAAAATGTATCAAAAAATCTATTAGGAGTTTGACAGCGTTGTTAGCTCATTCAGTCTGCTATACAAAGGTTAAGCAACTTTCGAAAGACCAAAATTTGTTCTGAGCTTTGGATATTAAGACGTTGCTCTCGAGTCGTTAGCAACCACCAATCTTTAAATTTAATTAAGATCCAATCTAATTAAGGTCATTTCCAACTCTACCTATTCAATTCCATAGGGATATTAATACATAGGGATTGACGAGTTTCGATGTCAAGTAACTTACACGCCAATGTGTATCTAGAGATATCAGGTTTGATTCCCCATTTATGGAGTAATTACATTTAATTTCCTCGATGCACTAAGTTACATGTAGACTTGTGGTCACCCAATCGATGATAGGTCTTAGTAAACGTTGCTTAACCTACGAAAACATAAAAATTGAAGAGTCTAACAACTGTACTTACCTCCTTGACTTTTGAACTTATCAGCCAATGATTTCTCCTTTGCAGTTGGTTTGCTCAGTAGATCCATAATTTCCTCACCTACTCTCTTCACTGCTTTCTCTCTACTGGACGGCATGGCCAGTAAAGACTAAAAGAAAAATATGTACAACTCATACAAATTATCGTGACACCAGGATCTGCAATCTAGACAGAGCTTGTAATCGTAAATTAACCTAATTCTTTGCAACTGGCCGACTATTGAAAGTGTCTAAAATTAAAGTACATTATATAGTTATTGTTCGGCTGTCAAATTAACAATATTCATTACTATCCTTACAATCGAATTTGAACACGACCTTAAACTCGAATCGCTATAATTGTTCGGGATCGAAATTTTGTTATAATTTAGTTATCATATAATTCCTAAAATTAAAAAACAACTCCATATAGATTATCTGAGCATCAGAAAAGTATCAGGTCCTACTTTCGCTGCATCATAAATTATAGACAAATGCGTTTCTTCAGTCATATTAGCAATTGGAAAATACAATGTTAGAATGAATGCAGTATTAAGTATAACTACACATTCTAGGATTTAATCTAATTATTCTGAGGTCTAGAAACTATTTTACAAAAAGCTTTGAACATTTTGGCTGACCCGCTTATAAATAAATAGTATATTATTTACCATGATGTCTGTATCACTCTTAGCTGTTTTCTTTTCATCAGTTGTTGCTTTAGATATTTTCGGATGTGAGCTTTCGGCTGTAATTTTGTCACCTAAGCAAAGATACAGATATTTTAGGTCTTACAAAAAAACAAAACAATAATCGTTAATAGATGACAATATTATGTTGAGCAGATTTCTATCAATTCTGGAATAGAAACAAAATGTTCCTTTACAACATTAAATAACTAATTTATGAAAATGAATTTTGGAAACTTATTTATTAAAAGTAACATGAAAAGCTAAAATAGAAGATAAGTTACTAGTAAAATCGGTTTACCTAATAAGTCATAGGGGTAAAACTTGTGAAAAGTTAGAAAACAATAGCATGGATAAGATATAACCACCATAAAAAAAACATACATTGTATTACCTTTTCTCTTGCTGGAACAGTCCACTGACTGTTCCTCCATCAGCGCAGCAAGCACAGCGGCAAGTCTCACTGACTCCGCACTAACAACTTCAATACCACCATCTGTGGTACTTTCTGTTCTTTCCTGTATACTGTTAATATAAATTACCAACTATCAACCAATCAATCACATAAAAAAAAATACAATTACATTACAAGAGAAAAATAATAAATAAGGCAATTTCACACATGCAATCACAGCAGAGAATAAATATCTTGGGAAAAATAAAAATTCCTACTTACGTTATTAATTTTTGTGTAGCAAATTTTTCAAGGAGATTTGCTACAATGCCCGCATCAACATCCCCTAGACCAGGTAAAAGGGCACTAGCTGTTGCAGGAAGCTGCAGCTGCATGTCAGATAGCACTTGTAAAAGACGCACTTCCAAGGAAGCTGATGGCACAGGCAATCTTGATTTTTCTATTGGTGGTGCTAAAAATAGGAAATAATAGTAAAAAAAGGTAAATCGGTAGAAATGAATAGCAGTGTAAAAATTTTGCTCACAATCCAAGAATGACAGAAGATTGATTTAATGGTATAAAATCAACAATATACTTAATACTTTGCTTTGATTGGCATTGTTTTAGATTGTGTATTTGATTCAATACAAATGGATCACCGGGTATGCTTTGATGTATGACCTGGTAATTGAATACCAGGTGAGTTCTAAAAATAGATGAATAATGGTGCTTGGAGTATGAACTGAAGTTTAGTCAATCTAAAACTGAATTAGTTATGTTCACCAATAAAGGAGTCTGAGGACAATGACTTGATATTATAATGATCACAGCGGAACCAGATGTAATAATAATACTGACTGTTTGGCCAGGAGGGATTAAGACATTGCAATCTATGGACCAGAATCATTAGCACCAATTCGATATACATAGTTTACTGGTTGGATACAGGAATGTTACTAAAGCAGACATGACGAAAAATGGACTAGACTCACCAACTGCGAACAAGCCAGGGAAGCAATTTCTAAGGTAGACCCGAGGTTATCAAATAAGTTATACAAATTAACCAGACACACACTGAGACTAGTTGTGGGTATATTCATGGGGCGTGGTTATTTTAATAAACATCATTACAATCTAGGCATCCCTGATAGCCCACTGTGCAGGGCCTACCTGAAGGAGGAGACGAGTGCTCATATTCTGCTGCACTGAAGAGGAGTGACAAGACAAAAGACTGTACACCTGGACTTAGACACTACTGGACAAATGCAAATACATCAAGATACTACAATCCTTCTTGGGAGGAACTGGGATGGCAGGTCTGAGGCCTCCACAGTTACACGCAAAATATGCACTAGGTGTGGAGTTGCGGAAACAAACCCCCCTGACAAGTAGAAGAAACTGTGTATTACTTTTTCTAGCAAATTAATAACAACCTACAATCATGTGGCATTCATTAAGAAATCAGCATATTCTATTCATACTTACGGTCAACTTTTGGTGGTGCAGGGCTAGAAACAGAACGTTCCTTCGGTGACCCCTCAGCCTTTTCAGGCACTGTTAAATTGGCACCAAGTATTATTTGCCGCTCTTTTTTGCGTTTTTCGAGTTTTTCACGTAAACTATTCCGTTTACTCTTCACGGCTTGTATTTCTTCCCATGCATCAGACATATTGAAGCTGATATAACCTACAAATTAAGAAGGTATATTTAAAGATACTAATCGACAATAAAGCTGATGGCTTTTCTACAAACGATTTGAATGAGACATTTTGTCATGACAACATAAAATAATCTTTTTAACATGTTAAAAGGTATCAAGTTTGTAAAAGGATAAAACATTTAAAAATAACCCCGTAAGCGATTATAACATATTTTATTTACCTTAATTGTTTAATAATAACAAAAATGACTTCTTCAGACACCGTTAAAAAGTTTAGATCGTATTTTTTTCATTTTATTTTATTCATATTTAGATTTAAAAACTTGATATTTTGTCTGAAGCATACTTCGATCAACAACACTTTCCTTCCTTATATTAGTCACAGATATTAATATTATACTACTCTTTGAACAACAAACAACTATAGATTCAACATATACTCTTGACGAAACAATATTGTAGTCTTTGATACAACTGTAGATCTCGTAGACAGAGAAGACAATAGACTAATGGTATGTTCTATCTCATTCATCGGGAAATGAAATGACTTATTACAATTTTCATTAGTTAAAGTGAGATAAAAACATTATTTGTTGTCCTTATCGATGTGGCCGGTTTTTTTGTTTGGCACCAGGCTTGTTTGGCACCAAAACGTCAAGATTTTAGGCATAGAAATTGTTGGACTCAAAAAAAATACAAAAAAAATTGGAAAGAAGTGTATTTAAACAATGTTTTAAATGATATATAAAGTTTATTTGTAAGAAACGTTACTTGCAAATTAAAATAATGGTTAAGTGCAGTGTTATATCTTGCAAAAATAGATCCTAAAGAAATATTGTAGGTGTTTGATATTTCAGGTAAGTTAGAAGTATTTTGTTTATTTCGTTAGTAAAACAAGCTAAAAATATTATTAAATAAGTTGAATAAGAATATAACCTCAAATCATTAAGGCTGACATCTAAGTGCTTAAAATCTCCCCTCAAAGTGCTTTAAATTATCAATATTCTGTTAAACAAATATCAAAATTTTTGAAACTCAACTATTTTCTTAGTACATAGAACTACAAAATGCGATTAAAAAAAATAGTCGGGTAGTTTTTAAAGTTTTGATTAAAATAAATCCAAGTTTGTAACCTAAAATATTAGCATTTAAAGCCTCTCAGTAAAGTTTGCATGATTATATTAAAATAATGCTTAATTTACTGTAATGTAATGTTAAATTACATCTTCTAGACTTAATTGAATATCATTTCTGTATTTAGAAACACTAAAAATTGTGCTATGTATTTGGTTAGCAATGTTTGAGTTTATAGTAGATAATATAACTATATATCAATAAATCTCGGCCAAATGTGTTTTTTCTTCATAAAATATTGTTATTCCATATGACAATCATATTATTATCATAATCATGATCTCAATTTTCCAAATTAAAATATGAAATTTAAAAAAAAAAGTGCTTAGTAGTTAAAAAAGTGCCATTACATATTTAATGAAATCTGCAATGAGGAAGTATTAAAAAAAAAACGGAAGCACTAAAAATACACCTTCACTAGTTGGCGACTCTAGCAAAAGTTGATTATTTTTACAGGAAACGAATGGACCAAAGACAGTCATTTACGTTACTTTTAACTGACATATTAAAAAACGAAAATTTTAAAAGTTCGAATCTTATATCAATACAATATAAAAAAGTACAAATTGAATATGAGTTGTTTATTGAATTTCTAAAACTAATTTACTTATAAACATGAAAAAAAACCGGGTTGTCATGGAGAAGTCAAGAACGTGTCGTAGCGACATTGATATCGGGAGTTATTGTTTTTTTTTAAATACTTCCTCATTTACAAATGCAAAGCCGCTACGAATTATGCTAATAGTTATTGGGTACTGTTTTATAAGACAAAATTGTAAATATATTTTTTATTCAGACATCAATAACGTCAAAAATTACCATTTTATGCGTATTTTATATACCCATATTATATGCTTCGGTTATTGGAGTCGCGTAGATAGTACGGGTAAAACATGGCGCAGACAAAATTACAAAACAGTCGAGCCAATTAAGCAGTGTAAAAAGTGTGCTTTAGCGGTTTATTGAATAATGACCCTATGTTGTTACCTCCGAGTAACATAGGAATAACATAATAAGTAGAAATAATATATCATAAGGCATATCAGAAGATCGCATATTTAACACGTTATGAAATAACTATTCGCGGTGATCGATTGGAGTGCAGAATAAAAAGGTTTAAACCTAGGGATGAAACAATATGAGTAAATACAAGTCCTTACTTGATACCTTTTCTTTCGATCTTTTAGAACGGAGTAGTATCAGAAAGTGAGTATTTGTACCGGTATTTGGTCGGTCACCCACTGAAAAATGACAAAAAGTGTGTCCCTCTTTTATGACGCACTCTAATTTTTTGTAGTTAGAGATCTATCTAGAGGGAGCACTCCTAACAAAATTTTTAAGCAATGTCTAAATGTATGCATCTCTTTCTTCGGTGAAGAGAGTATTGCTATTATCAATAGCATCAAATCTGCTTTAAAATGTATAAAAATACGACTTTGGTGAAGCATTCTAAAGCTGTTCGATAAAAGTCATGAATTAAATCATATTCCCATATTTTCGAAATGTGAAACCACTAATGCGTTTCAATTTCATGAAGTAAGAAACATTTCATAAAATATGCTATTTATGCTGAACCTAAAGTGATTTAAGAAAAGAAATTAAAATTATAGAATGATTCAAGACTATATTGTTGAAAACCGAATTAAAATCCATTGTGTAGAGGGTTAAATTTATAATACAGGACTACCCGGGCGAAGTAGCTGGTGCAAAATTAGTTATATTTAAATTATTAATGCATACTACTCGGATTTAAATTTTGTTTATATGTGGCTTATATTTGAATAAATTCTTTTTCCATTAATCTAATGGATACTTACTTTATTCCTTAAAGAACATTTTTTATTTATCTTTACTCTTTGATTTTCTGAGTCTTTGATTTTAAGATTATTGGTCATCCGCCATTAGTTGTTATTGAATATATTATTCGAAAAACCTTTAGTTATTATTTAAAAGGAAAAACTAAGAGTATATAAATTAAAACATTAAATTAATATAAAAAAATATATAGTTCAAATTCCTTATGATAGTATACTATACGAAATAACATTATTTATTTTTATATATTGTCGATAAAAACCAATGGCTTTCGCACCTGAGTTGAGAACCCATGCTCAAAAAGTTTGTTCTCTGTATAAAAAAGCATGTCGATTAATAGAAAGTTATTCTATTGCCAGGTTTGTTTTACCATTTTTTATTTAATTTTATTTATTGGACAGCCAACATGACATTCACTTATATTTTTACATTAGTTATTCATATTTCGAACCATTCATACGAAAATTAACAAGCGCGTTTCATGACAACAGCATAGTCCTACGACATTTTATCTCGGAATCGAATGTAATTCACTGATGCCGTTGCCATGACCAAGGATAATTTTATGTACTGTAACAACAACTACACATTATATTATATTGATAATTTGATCTCACTGATGCATATTACGATGAATACAGTGGCGTTACATTTACGATACTGACCATTTTTCATAAGTTTGAAATTTTACCTAAACATATATTTAGGTAAAATTTCAAACTTAATATATTAGGAGAAATATTTAGGAGAATAAGGACTAATAAGCTTTTGGTGCTATTGTGAACCCACCAAGGACCAAAGTTTTGATTTTAGATTGAAACCTGAAATAATGTTCAGGTTTGTAAAGTTTTATTAGTCAAATTGCTACTTAATTCGTTTTTTGGTGTACTACGTCTCTATTGCTGTTCTATCTAGATTAAAATAATAATAAATGAATAAATATTAGACGACACATAAACATTACTCTGATTCTTAATTAAATAGTTATAGAACTTCTGATTCTTAATTAAGTAGGTATAATTATTTTGTAATTAATATCGCCCACTTTTCACCCACTCTGGGTGAAAAGTGGGCGTTTTATATATACATATTTATTTATTAATTTTTAACATGGGTTGCCTGGAAGAGATTGCTGTTACTGCCTAATATTACCTCTATAATTTGATTTGATTTGTATTGTATCCTATATAGTGTGCTTATTTGCACACTATATACGTGACAATACAAAGAAAAAAAGTATGTTTTTCAGATATATAATAAGATATCATCAAGTTCAACTCCGAGATGTGTTTGATAAGAACGCTTGTGTGTGTGATCCAAAAGAACAGCGACGTTTGTTATGGGTTGGTGAAAATGAACTGTTTGAAAAAAGAAACCCTTTACCATCTGCGAAATGTTAGTAATGTCATAGGTATATTGGAATTAACAATAAACTTACTACACCCACATTAACAATTTTTGCGGCAACAGCTATCACATAAAATGAAATACAAATATCTATTTTTTTTTCTCAACAACGTCGATTGCTGTATTATTGAGTTTAAACTTTAAATGGAAGCAACCATGTGTGTCAGATGCATGTATAATGCGTTTGTAGGCAAGTAGTTTTCTGCACTTACATAAAAGTACCAGCAGAAGTTACCAATAAGTAATTATACATCTATTATATTATCACGATTTAGTACTACATGGCCAAGCGAGGCCAAGTCTGAAATTCCACCTTTTAACACGACAGAATAGTGTGCTTATACGATACACGTTATTTTCCATTGCAGTTCCAACATCTACAGGCATTGCTGGAGGGGTGGCATATGGCCGCATCGTTGATTCACCAGATTGGGTACTCGATTACTGGCATCCTCTTGAAAAAGCACAGTATCCCGAGTACTTTAGAATTCGTGAATGCAGAAAGTGCGAATATATACGCTTATGGCATAGTGGCAAGCTTTGTTAAAACAAAATAATTCCCGTTTAATGTTCAGCTTCTCTGTTGTCTCTGTAATTAAATTTATTATTTCTTTTTATTGCCATTTTTATTGAACATCATCTATATAATAACATTCATTTTTACATTAGGAGACTGCATTACCACCCAGATAGCATGCTAACTTGGGGCAAGTTTCATTTTTCTTTGATTCTAAATTGCTGGGTCGAGGCAAGTTTGTGACAATGTCGCTCCAATATTGTTATGTTAAATATGAAGTACGCGATAATATTATTTGAATATTGTTATGACAAAAATATTTATATGTAACACACCCATCATCTTAGATATCAATATAAATACGAAAATGTGCAAATAGAATATGAGTTTTGAAAACATAATTTACTTTTAAAAATGAAAGAAAACCGGAAAGGTTGTCATGTAGAAATCAAGAACGTACCGTAGCGACATCTAGTTTGATTTCGGGAACTAATGTTTTTTTTTAATACTTCCTCATAACGTGTTGTTTATTTTTCCATATCCCTACTTTTTGAATTATTTTGACGTTTGATTTTTAGGTTATGATTGGGTCGGATAATCAGGAGCTTATCTTCATAAACTTGCTTTCCTCATTAATTGTCGTAATAATACTGAATGATGGCTGATGAAAATTTGAACGAGAGAAAGGAAACTAAAACATCCATGACTGATGAGGAGAGGCTGGTGCTATGTCAGAAATTGGACCAAGAGTTAGACGAATTCATAAACAGTTTAGAACGCAAAAGATATACCGAAGGATGGCCTGAAGACCGATGGCAGGTAAATATTGGGTTTTGGATTATAAAGTTATAATAGTAGATAAGGTTCTATAGAAAACAAGACCGAATAGTTAAATTTTCTAATTTGGTTCATAATACATATGTATATTTGTACAAAAGTTAGGTTTCTACATAACTATAATATATTTCCATAAATGGGCTATTGCACTGACTGAGAATGAGATTAGTGAACAAATTTTATTATCTGAATCTTTTCCATGCCTCAGAAATCACACAGTCAGTTATGTATTGCAGCATTCAGATCAACAATTCTCTGATAATAATTTTTTCTCAAATGTGTTTCCAATAAGAATGAGAGAAAAAGTTAAGGTGATTTAATATAAAACTCAAAAACTTGTTATGATCTGTAATCAATACATATACAGGACTGATCAAAAAGATAATAACAAACTGCTTATTCACAATTGGGTTTTAATTCCTTTCCAGGAAGAAATGGACAAACACCCATTTTTCATGAAGACTACTCCTGAAAATGGCGAGATGTCTCCATTGGCTGAAGGTTTAGCAAAACTCAAGTATGATCCAGAAGAGAACACAGCTGTGGAATTAGCGAACAATTATAAAGAGGATGGCAATTTCAATTTTAAACACAAAAACTACAGGCTTGCAATTTTAGGGTAAGGCTTATTATATTTTACCTTTATGGCATCACTAGTGTGTCTGTCTGTCACAGCTGAAATACTCTATTACTACTAATTACGCTAGTTTTGACAGAATGGGTAATCAAATTTGGTACACATGTAAGTCGGTGTCCTAAAGATGATCTGTAACATAAATATACAGGAAAAGTTTGTAGTCCATGTGCAAAATTTAATATAGTGTTTATTACGGTAAAATGTATTTCAAATATTAAAACAATAATTTAATTAAATTCACTGTAAGTATGTTCTGTTCTATTAATGTTACTGAACTATAGGAAAACAATTGCGCACTGAATAAATTAAGTCTGTATATAAAATGAAAGGGCTTGTCATATGTACCTTAAATAAGCATATACCTACTATTTTATTCAATTGCAACAGATCTGATTATGTTACAATATCAAGGTAATTTTAATTGATGGTTTATGTCTAAATCATAACAATGTAATCGTAAAATTGATCAAAGTCCATATTGTAATTGAAACAATAGATCAAAACACAGATTTCTAATAGCAAACCTCTAATAGATACCATATGATGACATTTTGTAAAAAAGAAATAAAGAAAGATGATATTTTGTAAAAAAAAAATAAAGATACCAATCTTAGTGGTAGGGTAGGTGGCGGGTGAGGTAACTTTGCAATTTCCTTCAGATCCATTGTAGCGAAGGATGGTGCCCTTTAAGTCTAAACTAAATATAACCTTTAATTTTAGGTATACAGAAGGCATCAAGCAAAAATGTGAAGATGCTGAAATTAATGCAAGCCTATATAACAATCGTGCTGCAGCACAGTGGCATTTGAAAAATTATAGATCTGCACTTTTTGACAGTGAAAGAGCATTATCTTTTAAATCAGATCATGTCAAAGCTAGACTAAGAGCAGCCAAATCAGCATTTGAAGTGTCACAGTACAACAAGTGCATAGAACATTGCCAGAAATTTCTCGATACACAACCAAAAGACAAAGAAGTTACAGAATTATTGAATACAGCTAAAAAGAAGCTGATGATTCAAGAGCGTGATCAAAGGAAGAAAGAAAGAAACGATGCTAAAAATCTTGAACAGAAAGAGGGTGTTATAAAGGCTATCATTGAAAGAGGCATAAAGATCTCTAATTGTGATGACGAAGATGATATTGATTTATCAAAGTTAGAACCTAGTTTACCAGGAGCACAGGACGCGATAGTGCATATAGAGAACGGGATACTCAAATGGCCAGTTTTATTCCTGTATCCTGAATATCAGATGACGGATTTTGTGAAGGCGTGTCCGGAGAACGTGCCTTTGTTAAATCAATTACAACAGTTGTTCCCAGCTCCATGGGATAAAGATGATAAGTATACAGTTGATAAAGTCAATGTTTATTTTGAGGGATACGACAAGATGCCCCATGTAATAGACTCAAAGAAAAATCTCGGTGATTTATTAAAGTTGAAGTACTTTGAATTGAAAGCAGGTACGCCAGCATTTTTCATTTTACCTCGAGGTAGTCAAATAGAAAGTAGATTCTTGGAAAGTTATATTTAGATGTTGAACTTATATTTATTTTTGTACATATTTATTCATCATCTTTATGAAAAAGTAAGAAGCTGATTGTATTTTATGTATTTGAATATGCATTTATAATTACAAAAATAAATGAAACTAATAATAAGTAGATGTATTTAGTTTATTTCTTATCGCCATCGTCTTCCGCGTCGTAACCTTTTTGGTGAGGGTAGTACGGTCCTCCAGATTCAAATGGATCCTTTTGTTCCTCCAGTGACGGGTAAGGATGATGAGGTATTGCACCCATCCATTGGGGATACCAGTAGAGGCCCTGAAAAGATTCAAACATCAATAAAGTTGTGGTATTAAAAAATAAACTACTACCGCCATGGTAGTAATTTCTGTAAATCCTGGACATGAAACGATGATGTTGAATGTAGCAAAGAGTCTGATTTGCGTTCCTTTACATGCATACTAATATCTTTTAAATCAAAAGTGTTAAATACATAGAGCTATGTATTTACACTTTTGATTTAAAAGATCAACTATTAATTAAAGCCACTAGCAGCTTAAAAATGGCAGCTTTTCATATGCGTGATATATATATCGAATTTTTGCGAATCATGGTGTCACATGCTATAATGTTAAAATGGATTTGGCTCTTCTTACCTTATTGCCTCCTGCGGCGTTGCACGTAAAACGATCGTCGTGTAACTCCACAGTATCCAGGTAGCTTTTGCCGGCGATTGATCCGTAATTCGGTGGGTACATGAACAGGCATCCCTCCAAAATGACTGTAATTAATTATTTCGCTATTACAATACATAGTTCAGATATACACGAAGAATTTGCTTACTCCGGCTATTTTGCTAGTTTATTATTATTCTTGGTCGGTAATAAATTTTGGGAGGTTCAAAAAGTAGGCGTTAACTTTAAAATTCTTAGGCCATGTTCTGAACGGGCGAATTTGCTCCGAATTCAAGCGCCGTTTCAAGTACAATGTTGCAAACGTTATAATAATTTGTAACACTATTCTTTACCAACAAGCGATGTGAAAAGAAAGTTCTGAACAGTGTCTTACAACTTAGTAGCAACTAGCAACTATTTACTATAGTCCGGTTGCTGAACAGTGACACGGCATTATATACCTCTTTCACTCACGTGCAAACATATTTGTATTGCGCTCGCACAAATGCATCTAGCCAATGTTGTCATAGTAAAGTAAACCTAAAAAGGTCAAAGTACGAAATTTTTTCTTATTTGTCAACTGGACTCTACTAAGCTACCGCAATATTACTCCTGATCGATACTAATAATGGTTCCTCACAAGGCACTGTGATGTTGTCGTCTTCAGGTTCGTCGGGTTTCGGCGTAGGCTCGACGTATGGTGGCACTGGGTCGATCCCACTGCCTGGGTCTCCGGGAATCAGAAACGGACCTGCATTCACCAAAGAGATCAAGGGGAAATTATAATTGGCTAACATACTGAAATACTCTGATTTACGGGTACCGCCTTTAATCTGTCGAGTTGCTGTGGTCGCGTATTTATTCGCCGCTAGTGGCATTAGCGTGAGGTCTTCATAATGTCAATTGTTACTTTGTGGTACGGTTCGTGGGTTCTTTCTATAATGTTAGGTATTTCAAAATATAGTGAATATGTGAGTATCACATGTGAGCGAACGCGACAGAAAGACAGATGAATGGATCAGAATAGACTGGTCTGAAGGATGTGATCTATGTAATCGCCCAACGGAGATAGAAATGGGCGAGACATATGGCACGGATGGACACTTATAGGTGGTCAAGACGGTTATTACCGCGGATCCTGCGAAAATAATAGGCCACGTGGAAATGATACCCGAAGTTTTGGGTTGTAGAATTGAATCAAATAAACTTACCTCCGTAGTGATTTGTATAGTTCCACTCGCATACATGGTGATCACATACCAACGGCGTATGAGGTTCTTTGGTGTAATAAGTGTGACCATTTGGTGTTGTCTGAAAAAATAATGGTATTATATGCGTCTACGTTCACGATTTTGAGTAAATATTTAGTTTTACCTATCTTCTTTTCCATTACGCTCTGTCCTGCTTTCTATCAAGCAAGCGCAAATCGTAACAGAGTTACCTGGGTACTTATTTGCTTTTCGAACCCAAATTCGAAAAACACGGAGGTACTAATTAATTTTAGTTTGGATAAACTAAAATTAATTAGTACCTCCGTGTTGAAGATGGATATCTTATAATCGGCTTTTTGAGACTGTACTCCATAATCGAACACAAAAATTGTGGAAGAAATCCCTTCCACAATTGGGCTACTTTAATTTTCAAAGTATTTTGACCAAAAGATGGATATTTTACCAAAGATTTAAAAGTCTCCCTGGGTGAAATTTTCTGAAGAATAAGTTTAATAAAGGAAGAATGCATATTATAGTGGTAAAAAGGACAGATCAACAAACGAACGAGAATAAGGATATTATTTTGTGTGGATTGTTGTTATATTTTACGAGAAAGTGGATTATAAAGCTTTTATATTCATCGTTTTATAATAAGTCGTTTGTAGTTTATATTTGTGTGGAAATCAGAGGTAATGCTTAGGTTTTGGGAGTCTTACTAGCAAGAAGTCGTGGTGTCGGTACCGCAATCCTTGTATGTTGAAGTCCAGGATGAAAGAGCCTGATGCGATGATACAGGCGGCCGCTGTCAGAGGTGGCAGTTTGTACATAACCACTCCACATTTGACGATCGCCTTCGGCATTGCTGACACGTCACGAATTCTTTGTAATAGCTTCTTGAACGGAAACCTTGGGAGAACCGATTAAATTTTGTGTTGCATTGTATTTTATGATGAAATCTTTGATGATTGCATAGGAAGCGATTCCTAATCATGCTTTCGGAATTTTTATCTTTTTTTTATGATCATGTTAAATAGCAGGATGTACTCATGTCAACAGCGTTATAACGTTTTGGTTTGTTCAATTGATATTAGCTTTTGTAATTTATACATGGAGCAGTATACAGGATTATTTGTGAAACATCAGCAACTTTGCAGTTTTAGATAGCCAACAATAACATTCGTTAGACAAGTTAATAATAATTAATTAGATTTTATTTTCAAACTAAAAGCAAAATTTAATTTACCCTTAGAATGTTATTTACTCAGGGGAGTACAGATATGTAGATATTTCAGAAACCGCAAGTAATCATAGTCGTTAAATTTGAGAATTTTTGCCTTATAAGACTACAATTATTTTGTTAACTCCCGAGTTTTATTGTGCCATCATCAATTTTTATGTGGTTACTGCTAATAGAGGTCAATGTCGTAGAACGCACCACGTCAATGAACAGAGTTTTCTTGCAACCAAACAAAATGTTATTTTGCTTAATTTTGATAGTAACCATGGGTGGCATCGAAATATCAGAAAGCTGAATAGAACTTGTTCATTGAGTCGATTTCGATTTACCTTTAATATGAAATGTTACCTAAATATACAGAGGCCAATGTGGCATTCCAGTCCATGTAGGTAGTTGTCGGTTGGAAATGATATACTCGGGTCGTCTACTAAATAATATTTCTGTTCATCGTGGTAGTGTAGGAAACCAAGAAAGACGAAAGATCTGAAAGAAAACAACTCGATAAAACTATTTTTGTAGCGATGCGGTAAATATATATTGGTCAAAATAGGAGCGCAAATCTCTTGGATTTTCCGTAATTTATTATACGGTATCAAATAGGGACGAATTGCCAAGGTATTTAGTATTGGCAATCAATAGTCAGTGCGATTAACTCCTTGGCAATTGGCATTTGCTCTTATTTCATTACCAACTGATAAATTAGGGTAGAGATTCATTTTAAAATCCAAAAGGGTGTTGGTGATGGACACAGTAAACTCACCTATCTTTGCAATATGGTGCTACTCCCCGACCCATGTTGTATATATCGCTGTATAACTCTGATATGAAAATGTATACATTTTTACCGCAGTAGAATTCTGGAACAGTAAAAATAGTTAAAGTAATGAAACGATAAATCTTGCTTTAAATATTTTTCCTTGCTTGGGCATAATGTAATTTTTATATACTTAATTTACACGAGTGCACTGATTGCGAACGTGCAAGAAAATAATGTTTCAAATGAGATATCGAACCCTTAATAGATCTTAAATGTGGCTTGTTTTTTGTATAGCATAATTTTAAATCTAAAAGTGTATAGGCATTTGTTCAGCACCTGACCTGATGGCAAGTAAGGAGTTTCGGTAAATACTTGGGCAAACAGCGCCCTAAAAACTTTCAGCGAGTTGCACAAACGTTCAATAAGATTTTCATTATTTTAAAGCGACATTACCCATACAAATTTGACATTCATTAGAGCTTAAAGGAGTCATTTAACCTTAATGGACGTTTGTGCAACTGACCGTTTGACTATAAAGAGCCTTGATATCTTACCTACGTATTTTTAACGATATTAAAATTAGGAGTCAGGAGTAAAAACTATAGCGAAATAACCTTGGCTGAGATAAAATTCCATAGGCACCGGACCTCCAGTATAGGTAGCCTTGCGTTCAGCTGCCACGGAATTGTGGTTTTCGTACATCGTCAACATGTTGTCAATGACGTCATCCAGAGTTATGAGGAGAACCTATACATGGATGTACATTAATATTTCAATAAAATATAACGATAAGTGATTGATGTATCAATAGTAATACTTAAATGACCTTTAACTCCTGAATGTGCAGTTTTATGAAACGTCCCAAATGATCTGTTGCGATATGTACTCTCTCGTTGATCATGTACTGAAAATTAAAAATAATTATTCCTAAATAGGTTCTAAACAGTTCCTTTAAACTTAAAATTATTCAGTAACTATGCTCTTTTCCATTCCATAGACGTACAATAATTGAGTTGACATTATCACACATTCCTGGAAGAAACACAGACAGAATAGTCTTTAACCGATTCTAAAGGCTTTACGATCTTCTCAAATACGAACAGTCCAGCATAATAAATATTTAGTAATCTATCTCTAGCAAAAGTTACTAAACTGCAATCGAAGTCCGTAACACTTACCTTCGCACCATCGGACTGGTCATGAGACACACGGTTACTTTAATAAGAGTATCATTATTTTGAGTGTGAGATAGCATTCATTGGGTTTGTTTCCCAGGATTGGTTCTGGTCATCGCGATGACTCACCCTTGGTGCCGAGTATAGCTCGAGGAGAGGCCGAGGAACGGTTTATTAGAATGTTCGTTGAATGGTAAAACGAGTTAAGATTACGCCATAGCGCATCATTTTTCTTTGGGGCAAGTGGGCGTATGTCTAACCCTCGTCTATTGCAATACCCCAACTGTCTGGAGAGGGTTCTTCTTAATTACCTAGGAAACCTCCTGTCCGCAGAGGGAGCGACCACTGGTGCCCCACATTCCGGATCCCTGGGCATACGTTACCTGGATTGCGCGAGAGGGTAATAGGGAGGGTTAATACGTAGGGTTTTGTCGGGGAGGGTGACCGTCGTCCCTTGCAGTTGGAGAGCCCCGTTTTAGTCTGCCGTCGTCCAGGACGATAAAATGTTAAGGTCAGTTTCCTTTGGTATATAAAAAAAGGATTAGTTCTGGTTTGCAAATTGTTTAAGAGCATGGGGTTAAGTTTTTGTGTAAGTTTGGATAAGAATTTTCGTCAATTATTGTTGACGCAAACTCTGATCATGTCACGACCGGTGGATATTTAGGTTTCACGCGTAAAAATCCTGGGGTTTGTAGATTCTTGTACTATTTTACAGATGGCAATTCAAGTCTCACCTGGTCTTCTGCCGTTTTGACTCTCAACATCTCGTTTTGGTATAACCACAAGTTATCCAGCTTATCCGTCGGATCGTGACCGTAGATCTCGAACGCGTCGATGATCATCGCTAGCGTTAGATTGTCGTTGGGGTCCAGGCAACATGGGTGGTTCCGGATGTTATATGGTGCCTGATAAAGTTAATGGTCATATGAATTTAGGACTAAGCGATTGAAATTAGGATTAAGGACAATGCGATAATAATCTTTAGTAATCAGTAATAATAGAAATAACGTTTCATTACATCGCGTCGACTTTTCGGTTTTTTTTTAATTGATTTGGAAGACAGAAGACAAAAGTTTGATAAAATTTATGTTTCTCTATATATCTTTACCGGATTCCTTGTGGGGTAGGCAAATTTAATGATTATAAATTTTATATTCGAGCTATTTAACTCATTAAGTTGCAAAATTTTACTGAGTCATAGAATTCAACATTAGTAGTAAATTAAGATATTTTTAACCGATTTCAAAAAAGGAGGTTATCAAGTCGAGGTGTATGTAGTAATTTTCGCTGAAATTGCAAAATATTCACATATGTTGATCTGTATGGGCTTCTTAGCACGTTAGCGCAAATTTTATAGATGTATGCATGAATTTATGATTGTGTATGGATATTACGTAAACTAGACATCGGATTGCTTAGAAAGTTGTTTTAAATAAAACAGTTTTGTTAATTTTTTTGAGGTCGGTGCCAGAATATTTATAAATAAATGTAATGTAATGTAAGAGAAAATTAGATTATCATTTAAGACACATTTTTAATTGCTGTTTTACTTCCTCTTAAAGTAATTGGTGTAAATACATTTTGTGTTACGATTTTATTGAATATAAAAATGTTGTGGTACTGTTTCTCTCTTTTCAGTTGTCTCTTTATTAAAACGATTTTTTGAAGTTTTATTTAAATATCTTTTATTTTTAAATATCTTTTTAGGAAAATAAACAGTTGTTTTCGGTATACATAATCACACCTTATTTAATCATAGACCTGACGGTTCCTTTACTAAATTTTGAGATTTCCTTTCAAGATACTCTTACGAACAAGGCATAGGTAATATTTTCTGTAATTTTAGATCATCTTCACCTATTTCTTGGTGATACAAAGCGATATCTATTCAAAATATCTCACCGTTATTTGGAACCAGTTGAAACATAGTGCGAACAGCACGCATGCGCGAACACGGGCGTCCATTTTGTCGGCACATGGCGACTTGTGATGGCGTCCCAGTGGCGCATGCTCAATTATTTCTTATTTTAATTGAATATATTTTGCTTGTTATATTTTATAGCCCATTGATTGAGAAAAATAAGGGGTTTAGGTTTATTTTATACCTATAATGAAGGTATTTCCATAGTATTTCTATAACGACGAAATCGTTTTTTTTTGTGCTTATCTGCAATCATTAGTATACTATAAGTAGATTTGTCCTCTAAAGTATGTTATATCAAGGAAGCTCCTCAATAGGAGGCCGCTTATATTTCATACTTCAGTATAGACCTGTGTCGATGACTCGCCCCGGGACCAGTAAAGTTGATGTCTCTTTCTTTAGTTGCGCGTTCTACCGATGGCGTGATCGAATCTTATTGTAAGAGATACAAATTAAATTACAACCAGTTTCATCTTTGAATGATAAATTCTTACATGTGCATTCCTCTGTCGGTAATATAAAAGACCCCTTACGAGTGGGTCATGATCAACCCGGGTTACGATAAATGATCGATCGACACAGCTTTACTTCAGTGTGGTTGAATGACATAGGTATTAAACAAAAAAATCTTAAAATACTTATGTAAACGTACAACGAAAATTATACCGCGAGGCAGAATACAGCTAGCACAATCTATTGATTTTCTTACCATTATCTTTTTTGGCATTTAAGTCGATCAGTATACCAAATTAGTTGATAGCTAATTTGGTAGCTAAGTCGTTTGGATGTTTTACCAGTCCAGCTAGTAAACAGTTTAAGTAATTCATAAGATCGCTGGTCGATGTAAATGTCCCAGCCAAGTGGTATAATCAGCCGACCCATTGGGTAGCTAGCCCTTTAATTGAATGGCGACATTCAATTTCCATGAAGGGCTAGTGAAAAGCAATCATGATTGTCTTATTAGTCACTATAGGAGAACAACCCATATAATAATTACGAGGTTTCAATATGGATTTGGGATAGAAATATCCGGGACCCCCTCCTAAGCATGCCTTCCGAAGCACGAAAGAGCTCCTTGTCTTTATATATATGTACTTAGGTACTTCTTTTATTCTCTAACTCCGGTGTGAGCAGTTTAAAACGAAGAAAAAAATAGACGCGTCCATAAATTATGGTAACAAGTACAATATTTTGTACACTGATTATAAACTTTTCCTGTATATTCCCCTGTCTAGTTTATAATTTCAACATCCAGTTGTTTTGCCGTGCGATAATCGTATTAGATTATCATCACTAATATACTGGAGTAAGGAAGACATGACTGTCTGTGAGAATAAATGTAACGCGTTATATTTATTTAATATATATTATTATAATTGGACAGATTAGATACCGCGTTCTTCTCTCTTTTTCTAACTACTGAATTCTGGTGTAAAAGCTCATTGGTTGATCGTGAGGCTTTAGTCCATTTTTATTGGTAGGTAGACATGCATTACCAAAAACTTTCATCCAACTTCAAAATAAGGAGGAGGTTCTCAATTCGACTGTATTTTTTTTTCTGTTTGTTACCTCATAACTTTTTACTGGGTGGACCGATTTTTTTTGAAAGCTAGTGCTTGCCAATTTGGTCCAGATCTGATTTGACAATGGCATCTATGAGAAAATCATATAAGTCTTAAATTTGCATTAAGTATGCGTGACGCGGTTTTGACGCGATTTTCAGAAAATATTTTTTTGGTGTTACCTATTATATAAAAATATCAATATCTTTAAAAAGCATGAAATAAAAAACCTTAAAAAAATATAGAATCGACTTTAAACTTTTAAAAAAAGTGAAAAAAAAAACTTATCTTAAAAGCGACTTATTCAAGAAAATGCTATTGAAGTCGGGCGCCTATAAATTAATTTATAACCTTCAGAAAACCCCCGCCCAGCTTTAATAGCATTTTTGTAATAAGTCGCTTTTGAGATAAGTATTATTTTGTAAAGTTAACATTCTATATATAGAGGTTATTATTAGAAAATTAAATAAATAAACACAAAAATCGTATAACATTTTATATTATTTAAAATACACACCTAGAATTGTTCATTTCATATCAATACATGAAATTTATTGTCATACATATTATTTATACAACATTATTGCACTTGGATACATTTCAAACAGTTTTTTTTAATCGGTTAGCTTTTATTTATATTAATAAGACATTAGATGGTCAAAATCAACTTGAACGATTTGAATGACGAAAATTAGTAAGGTAAGTAAATTTTTAGATCAGTTTGGCGAAGAGTTCAGTTAATATTAACTTATCAATGGCTCCTTTAACTTATCAATTAATTGCAATTTTCCATCTGTTATCTACCTGGGATTTAATACCATTAATACAATAGTATCTTGATAAATAATGGATACAGATATTATTTGATATTTTTTGAACTAGCAACAAGATCTGTCAAAAGAGATTTTATTTAAACCCCATTGACATGCCATAATATATTAACGTTAGCGTAATTGTGGTTCCAATTGTTATTTAGGTCCATAACCAAAAGTAATAATATTTGGAATCGTTCCAGATTATTAGTACACTTAATATGAGGCAATTTGCTAACGTTTACATAAAAATGGCGTCTTGATGGCGTTTATTTAACCCCTTACTCCACTGTATTGGATACCACACGTATATTATTAATTAAAATAATGCCGTTGTAGTATAAACAATGCTGATTATTATTTTCTTATTTGATCTACAAGAAATGTGTAATAAGCAGTGCTATTTAACATAACGTTATCGTCATTTAACATAAGTTTATCAGAAAAAACTTTGACAAAGACTAGTGAGTTTACCTTATGTAATTAATTAGTCAAGCATTTTCAGAATCACATACAAATTGTTTATTTTGGAAGCCCCATATTAATCTAATCGTTTGATATTTATTTAGATATACAAATGATAAAAACATAATAAGAAATTGAAATCAAGGCTTTGAATTTAAAACTTTGGATATTTAGACAGTAAATTAATTTCACTTGCCAATATAATTGAGAACATCTCAATTGGATTTTATTTATATGTAATTAAGCACCAAAATAACAGGGCAGATTTCATGAAAACAATTGTTTTACAATATTGCACGCTCTGTCATAATGGCATTATAGTACCCAATTGTTTTTTTCCCCCCATCATTTTCAACTTGAAGCGTTTTATTAGCATTATATTATAATAACCATGGTATTTTCGTAAATCATGGAAGACCAACATTGTTTTGTGATAATGACTTATATCAAAATTAATATTCTCATTGGGAAGATGCTAAGAAGTTTCATGAATTTGAACTATATATGAATTGTAATACAATAACGACACACTTGTATATATTTATAAATAAACAAAAGTCATAAATAATTTCACCATACATTTCACGTTTCAATTTCGATTATACAATTAAATTACTAATCTAAATAACATTTATAGTAAAAGTTATCTACATATTATTGGTTTTTCAGATATAATATCAACAACATTACAATCTTTTAGTATTTTTGGAATTGGAAGACATAGGATATTATTACTAATAAGTCAAAAATTAACTATAGTTTTATGTTAAAATTAATAAAAATAAATACTAGTAGTAAATACGCAATATTCGCTATTACATTTTTTTTTGTATAATAATTATACCAAATATGATTTAAACTGATATAAGAAAAATTCACTCAATTATTTCGTTTTATTTTCTGCTTTAACATAAATGCGTATTTTTTTACAAAAACAAATGTTTATTATTAGTTAAACATTAGGTTAAACCAACCTAAATTAGACCAACATTAAATAATTATATTATTATGCCAAATGATTACAAGTAATAAACTAAACTTTCAGAGATGGACTAGGTATAATTAATAAAAATATTTAATGTAAGTAAATGAAATTTATATATATAAACTAAATAAATAATATTTATTGTTCTTTCTGACTTTCATTATCATTTTCTTAACAGATATAAACACAAAGTAGAAAGTAAAAAGCATTTTTAATTACGACATTTTATATCAATCACGGAAGACCGCTATTATTATTTTATTCGTATATTTATATAATATAACTTCTATATAAATGTAATAAGTATCCAAATATAACTTGCAATTATAAGCTTATTTAGTGTTGCTCCGCTAACTAGTGATGTTATTTATGTAAATGGAAGACTTCGTTGTTATGATATATAATATACTATAATATATAACTTTGATAATGTTTACCATGGAAGACTGGAACTTTCATTATATTATATTAGCAGCTAATTCCAAAATTACACTCTATATACATATATAAAAATTATATTGGAATGGAAGACGTGGTATATTGATAAATGTATTTGGTTAATTATGTCTAATATATTTGCAGTAATCAATTGTTATTAAAAATGGTCAATCACGGCAATTACTAAAATGCGATATTGATTGCTTAAAAACATGTTCACAAAGTATGCGTAAATCTAAAAATAGATCAACAATTACTTATCTAAAAAACTACATTGACGATTTAGAATGGTAATCCTATTTTGAAAGCTTTCACGAGAGCAGAACCGGAATCGTACATGCCTATTATACCAAAAAGAACACCCAATGCAATAATGAAATAGTCATAGGCAATTGTAGTGCTCTCCAGTTGGTTGCCCTTCAATTTGAGATGAAAGTAAGCCGGCCATATGAAACTCAACATAGTGCCGGTAAAACTGCCGATGAAACCCATCAGTATAGCGAAATGGGGAATGAAAATTGCCATCAAGATAGTGAACATTATAACCCCCAGCCTCCAAGCGAGACCCCATACTTTTAACTCTCCGTCCAGAGCATAAATAACAGGAAACAATGTTTTAGGTTTTCCCCTGAAAAGAGCTCTTTCCAACAAATCACAAGCTGCGTAATACGGCAATGGGTAGCTCAACACAGCCTTTACGACAAGGAAGAAATTAACAAGCCCTTTAAATCCAGACGACCTAAGGTTGTTTGTGATTACTTGTTGGGTATCGTTTTGAAAAGTCAAGAAGCAGACGTATCCAAAAATAGATTTAAACGCTGCAGCCGCGATATGAGACCAGTTCAACATCCATTCAAATCTGGATCGGTCTTCCATGTTCCCTTCAAGCGTAGGAAGAAAAATCTGCGATGTGTATGAAAATACAATGACGCCTAAGCTAATGGGGAAGTTTTCGAAATCCAAACTCCATTTCACTTTCGACCATCCCCAGTCACCGATATATAGAATGCAATAGCCGAGAACGATAGCGTTGATGATGAGATGGCTCATGGTACACCAGAATGAGAGCATACTGACAGAAGCGAGGGACTTCAAGAAGGCCAATGGCAAAAGAAATATTCCTGTGAGCATCATCCAGGATCGAGTGTCTATGGAGCCATCAGGGAAGGTTCCAATCATGAGGTCACCACATACGACGACATAAAGGATGCACGTCATAAGGAGTTCAATAATTTGTGCCATATTGACTATTCTAGCGCCGTACTTTCTACCAAAGCACTCTTTTGCGATACTGACGTACGAGTCTCGGACTCTAACGCGCTGGCCGGAGACGGGATCGTCTTCGTAAAGGCATTCGACAAGGATTTTGCCGGTGTAGCAGCAGATGTGGGCGATGCCGATCATTGCCGCAATGGCCCAATAACCACCTTGAAGTACAGCGAAAGGTAAAGAGACGACGAACATTCCCTGCAAAATAAAACACCCAAATAAGTATCTTTTTACCTTATCAGAATTGAATGAAATTAAATATATTTTGTTAGAAATTTACCTGGATAGCATTGGTGACGTTCCAGGCAGCTTGAAATTCATTGATCTTCGCGCCGGGTTTACCCCCGCCCTCTTCGAAACCACCTTCTTCGGATGACGCATAGAAATCTACGCTTTGCATGCTCTGCGTTCTGAAAATAGATAAACAATTGAACATTATACCAAATAATTATAAAGAAAAATAATGTTTATAAAGGTTCCCTTTAGTTGAATCATCTTATATTGAAATTTTTTCAGTTTTTATATTTTTCGCCTCGGTTTCACGACTGCTCTGACAAGAGCATACGAGGAAGAAGAAGTATTTTCTAATATCAAATCATCGATAGAAACTGTTGAGATAAGATGCGTTTTTAAGTTATCCATATCATGCTAACGTCATGTTTACTGCAACAGGTCAAGATTGTCTGTTGCTTTCCATATCTGAGAAAATCTACAAAAGGAAAGCTTTGAAGGCTGCCTCACCGTGGCGCCCCATCTTGTTGTGGATAGGTGTTCTGGTAGCTCGTGAATGAATCTTCTGCTTGTAGGTTGCCGCTAAGAAACGGGTTCGTAGGATTGGTAGACTGGTAGGTGGGCGACGTCGTTTCATTCATGGTGGACAACTCGCAGCTCTCATCCATATTGTCTGGAAATAAGAGAAGATTAAACTTATTTACTAATGTGTTAACTTAACTGGGTTGGTAGCTATACTAGATTTATCTAGTGTGATGATTATGGGACCCATAGATGCAAAGCGGCTCTATTACGAAACTTTTAAGCCCTAATTGATCTGTCAAAATAATGCCCTGACAGGTAATCTATCAGTCTGACTGATGATTTAGGGCTAACATTTTGACAAATCAGCCAAGGCTCTAAGTTACATAGTGGATCAGCAAAAAGGTTATAAAACTTTTGTTAAAACAAAGCTCTTGGAATTAGAATCAATTCATTTCAAAAATGTAAGGTGTACTGGCATCTGTACCTAATGGTTACTATAAATTTCAACAAAATATATATAATTCTATATACTTAATTTAGTTAACATGTCAAGATAGCATTGATTGTGTTTCTGAAAAACTTAACTTAAACTGTGTATTGGTTTTTGGCAGCGCAACTATTTGTGGTCATTTACTTTAGTAGCTTTATATCATTTGATGATAAGTAGGTACTTGCTCTATTGTTTTCAAAGATTCAGTTCTGCGATACTTTAAAGACTTTTATCTAATTTTATACTGTTACAGTAAAAATCTTAAATTTACCATTATGTTTCAGAAATTTTGCCGCGTAGAAAGTTGGTAGTTTTTTTTTCCTTTTATGGTAATTTAAAACAGAAGTAAAACAACAAAGCGTGTTTTCAAAATTTCAATACCATTGTCAATTTTGAAGTTGACAATATTCAACTTCAACGAAAAAATAATCATTAACAGATAATTTATTTAAATAATTTTAAACGTACTAAATTAGCTTTCAAAAAAATAGATAATATATTCCCAGTTCAGAGGGAAGCTTCTTCATCAAATATTTTTTCTTTATTTACACTATTATAATGATTTGAATGAAACCAAGAATATACTATTTAAAGCTCAAGTGACCAGTTTGAATTGAACCAGAATTATTTATATTAAATATTTTTTTTTTAAATTACGTTAAAACTCTGCGTAAAATTGTCGTTCAAAATTAATACAATAGGGAAACATATAATACTCTTCTTTCAAAGTTAAATTATGTACAACATATTTAATGCATTAAATATTTTTTTACGGAGAAAAGCTCTTGTAACATAATAATAGCGTATCGATGGTGTCCCGATAATATCTCTAACAGACAGTGGTATTAGAAAATAAAATAAATGTCATAACACAGTATAAAACAAAGTCGCTTTCTCTGTCCCTATATTACTCTATGTATGCTTAAATCTTTAAAACTACGTAACGGATTTTTTACATACATAGGGTGATTCAAAAGGAAGGTTTCAAAACGAAGCCGCTGGCGGAATTATTTTATAAGCCGCTTGTATATAAATAATCTTAATTTTCTTGCGGTCAAAATAATTAATTAATATCTAAACAGAAATTACCGTAGCAAAAATCAATTTATCGAAACGCCATTGAGATGCCATTATTATGTTAACATTAGTAGTTCTTACCTAAGTTAGCGAATCGTACGTTCTGAGGAGGTCGAGGTGGTGGTCCTGGCTTATCAGGCATCTGTTGGCGTACAGTTTGCATCGCCACATCCAGGGCATTCTTCAACGGTGGTATCTTGAATCGGCTGAGATTAATCATTTTGTGATTTGACTCCAACACCAATTATTTATGACAATATTTTACTTAATCTTTTTTATACGAGAATTGACATTAATTGGAAGACGCTTTTTATTACTTATCAATTATATGAACACTTATGTAAAAATAACATTAAAATTTTGGAAGACTTCTTTTCACTATAAACTATTTTATGTCGATATATTACATTATGCTAATGCCTAGTGGTTTTCGGTTCCACATGATTTTTTAAAACTATTTTTGTCACTCAAATTTTGTTGCACTCTTTTTGAACGTATTTTGAATGGTTCTAATGTTTGTTAAAGGGGTTTTATTATCATTTTTCGAGTGGCTTTATTTAGTGTGGAGCCTGCCAGGTACAGTTTTCTTGATGTAGGGTGAGATGCTCGGATTCTGCGCGGTATATAGATCGATAACGCGCTGGTGTCTCGGCGTTTGGTGTGGTGACAATGCTTCGAGCGAAATGGTCTTAGGCAATCGTTTGTATGGTTGATGATAGAGGAATATATTCATGTTTTACATAATGATAACGGATGTATTAATTATATGGTAACTGAATTAAAAACATATAATAAAATTTTAAATGATTTTTCAAAAATCCCTTGAGTAAAATGAAAATAAGCTCGAATAAATATATTTTTTTTATCTCCTTCGGGTAGATTATTGAATATTAAACATTTTTTTTTATTTTTTGCCCAATCAATAGTTGTAACGAAGTGAGACCCCGCACACATCAACTTTAGTGGTCTCTAGGGAACTTTATTTATATATCCATTTATATCATGATACGGATATAATTAAATTGGCAAATTGAATAGTGAACAATGGTTGCTATGGTAACATTTTATTCCTTAAAAAACTTCCACTCCTATTTTCATCCCTATAATTGCTGTTTCTTGGGATAAAATCGGTTCAGTATTTTCGGAGCCTGTTCGTTGCAAACATACACAATAAAATCTATACTCTTTATAATATTAGTATAGATAGTTTTTCTATTTGAGTAAATATTAATTTCTTTTAATCAAACGCAACGTACAACCTGGCCTTAAGCGAAGGTACGTTCGTTTATTTTAATTGACTAGTCAAATAAATTGGTCACATAAAGGTTTGCGACTGTTAGTTAAAGTTTGATTATCTGAATGTGGTACGTGGCGTATAGGCACGTTGACGAGGTAGTCCAGTCGTCATGTATCTGGATACAGGATGTTTGTTTGTTATCATTTTTTACTTTTGTAACTTAGCGGTGAGTCTTTTGAAGAGCGCGGGCCGGTTTCACCACTTGCTGATAAAGTCCTTGATTTAGCCTATCAGAAACGCCAGATAAATTGCAGATTTTGGTTTCAGATAGAACTATCTGATGTATAATTTGTGAAGTATAATATCAGTGACTTTTATTTGTCAGATAGCGTTATATAAATATCTGGAACTTTATCCGCAAGTGGTGAAACAGGCCTTGAATATATTTATTTATACTGAACGCTTGAGTTGTTGTTATTATGGAGCTCGATGGCGCAGTGACGTATTTGGTGTTTGATGCGGGAGTTAAGAGTCTTGCAAGGACCGGTCGTAAGATGGGTGACCAAATATTTTTTATTTCGAACTGCTTCGTGCTTCGGATGGCACGTTAAGTTGGTCTCGACATATGGTCGTTAGTATTCTCCCTATTCGATTCGATTGAAGTGTAGGCCTGTCCCAGCAGCGGGGACAATAATAAGCTGATGATGATGAGAAACTGAACGGGCTTCAGAACACTTAGCCCTTGGGTGGATAATTTCCCTTTAGCTTCTCAGTTGCCACATCACCAGGGTCCTTGCCGTTGAGCTGCTCCGAGAATAAATAAATATATACCGTTCTTTGCATTAACATTCAACTAATACTAATCCTCGATGCACAAAACACAGACACTTACAGAACACAATTAAACAAAGTAGGCTTGAGCAACGCACACATAGACACCTCTCACGGACACGATATCTCGGACCAGTTTAGACCAGTGAGTGCGCGAGTGACGTCTCCCCGAGTTATTGTAGCTGGTAGTGTTTAAATTAAATAATAATCGTAAAAGTGAAATGCATACATGTGATTGACTTCTGTATCCTAAAAAATATATGAAATGACATTCAACCATGCGTACCGGGCGGATGACTGTCGCGGATTAACGCATACTTCCATCTGACGCCTCACAGATCCTACGTTAGATTTGCACCCGCCCTAAGACCATAATCACCTTTGTTTCTATAACACTTTAAATTTCGTTACAGAACGCATATCTGGTAAAAAATCACCCATGTTGCCAAGAGCCGAACGAAAATCTGACGCTGGCGTTGATGATAGACGCATTCGAGATCTACGGCCACGACCCCACAGATAAGTTAGATCACCTGGCTCACTATCAGATAGAGATGATGAAGATAAAGAAGGCACCAGACCAGGTCAGCTATGTCCTATTGTTTACTCTCTTTCTTAAATTAAATGTATTTAAAGGTTTTATCGTGTGTATTTTTTAAAATATTGTTATCTTTCAAACTATTCGGATCCTTCACAAGACAAATGTTTCCTTCCTTTGGACAATGTTGTAAACATTCTAAAATTCACATGATAAAATTGTTTGAAAGTAGTTTTGTTTAGCGAGTAGTGTGCATTAAACTATATCCACCTATTCTATCACAATTGTCTAATCTCTTCACTGGTCTATTTACCTTCTCCAGTGACAATTTACTTTCTTCTCTGGCTTTATATCTGCTCCTTTACTTCTAGATAATTTTTAATATTTTTTTAATACCCTCTCATTATTTATATTCATTTTACCACACAAATTTCGGATAATTGATAAAAAAATCTGTTTCAGTATATTATAAATGAACGTGTACATATTGCAACAGACCATTTGGCAAGATTCATTCATATGCATATAAAGGAGCTGAAGGTTAGTAAGTTTCAAAAGGTAGGATATATTATTGTATTTGCACAAGATAGACTAACTTTTATTAAGAAAAAATAATTATGATTTTGCTATCTGTGTGTAAGTATAAATTAACACAGTTGTATGTAAGCATAAATTAACACAACACAAACGTCAGAACTAATAATAGATATCAAAAGTAAAGATTTTATCCTATATCTTGCGAGATAACCAGACGAGTATACATGTTTCAAAGTAATGGATTTTAAACATACTTAATTTGTAGGTACTCCTAATAGCCTTGGAAGATACAATCGATAATATGCTTACCATGTATGACAATCACAACGCAATAAAGACGGAGAGGGTAGCCACATACAACTCCCAAGCTGGTGGAGCTGTACCTTCCGAGTTTTATCTGAGCCAAGGTAATATTATTCCACAATATCTTTTGTACTTTCACTACGGCACCTATTTTGTGGCATATATATTAGAATTTTAGGGTCAGTGCAAATCTGATAAAAGGTCAGCGTAACAACATAGTAGTCGTTAGTCGACGGACTGAAGAATTTATCAGTTGAGTATGCTTGGTTGAGCGTATATTCACACCAAACGTAGTATCGGCCGAGAACTCTAAACACACGAAACTATGCTGCATTTTTCAATTATATTGTACTGACAATACGCTAGCAGTGAGATCAAAATAGTTGCCAACGAAAGAATTGATAAGGTATGGAAATGCACTAAGCTACGTAACCCTCCAGCCTCGTTTATAGTTGGCGACTGACGAACACGAATGTAACCAAAATATCTATCACATTTGTCAGTTCTGACATTTTATATCATACGCGATGGACCTTCCGTCAGATATGCACAGACTCTTAAAAGAAATTTCAAGAATTTCGCGTTTCCAACAGAATATTATTGCGGTAAGAACGTGTACATATTCTTATCGGAGCTGTACAGTGATATTTATCAAATGGGACGAGGACCAGCCCCCTACTGCAAGGATAGGGGGTTCCACTTCCTTGGGTTCGTTCATTTTATGGATGAAAAGCGATATTACTTGGAGGAGGACCCCACTATCGTCTTTCAAATAGACAATTATATACACGGGCTGGAATGTCACCTCGGCATCTGCATTTTTAGGTGAGTTATAATTTTGTTATTAGAACATAATTAGTACAACTATTCTAAAGAATTTAGATTTTTCCAATATATACATATCCTCTAGCTCCTTGACTGCATTTGTCTCTAATGTAACATTTGGAGACGTTACAAGTTGTCTCAAGTGCTAGCAAGTTGTACACTGTATATTCGGTTTTCCAACGTTTTGCTTGAAGCTTGAAAACATTACAGGTTTCACACTCTCTCACTAATGAGATGCTCTACTTACATGCAAAATTTCAGGTGAGGGAGCATCATAATGAGACTTATCGTTACATTATTCTATCTAAAAACTAGTGGAAAATAAATCTCCCGAGAACATTTAAAAAAATTGAGTCAAATTTCCATAGCTCGGAAATTTAGTGGACGAAGTATATTTGTCACATCGATCTTAATTGCGAAGAATTGCGTGTTACTTAAAGAATTACGTCTCTGTCTTGGGTATCGGGTGGAACAGGATGAGAGCTATATATAGGTAACAGTATGCACAAGTGAGATAAATAATATTGTTTGTTGCTCAAATCTTCTAAAATGGTGTCACCTTAAAGTCTTCAGGTTCTTGTGTAGTTTTAATCACTTGATTTAATTCACTTGATGATTCCGTTGATGATTCTGTTGTATCTGTACTACTTTCGGAAGCACAAACGCTAAATATTTCCTGGTGGTATGCTCTTACATCTGTGAAAACGAATATACTCACGTTTCCCTTGTTCAACGTGAAACTGCCGATCCCAAAAAGTTTATCCTTGTACACTAAGAGTGATCCAGAAGCAATACCTAAGAATTTCTCTTCGTTGCTAATGCATATAACGCGACCCCAATCTCTGATGATCCATTCATCACAATCGGCAACAACGTTCGTGCCTTCCTCGTATCCAAAAGTGCTGAGCTTAGAACTTTTGGTGATATGCTTTTTGTCTTTATATCCTAGAGATGCAAATTTCATAGCGTCACCCAACCAATCTTTGAGTTCAGCCAGTTCAGTAATCATGGGGCCTGTTTCAGTAAACTGCAAATCACTTATTGAACCAAAGGAGTATTGTTGGGGATCTGGGTCTAGGAGCTTAAGTTTTTTGCTGATTCGTAAGATTAAAAGGTCGTGCACAGAACTATGCTGGTTGTCATTACCGTGCCATTGTTCTGATGTGAGCGCCTTATTTGTCATGTCGATGACTTGGTTGTGACAATCGATTTCATGATATTCTATTCTGTGTTTATAGAACGTGTCGTTGACCATCTGTCTGCCTGTTAGCACTCCTACGACTAAGTCTTGGGTTTTATAGTCTTTTATAATTTTACGATATGGATTGTATGATGTGAGGATTCTTTCGTTGTCTATTAAAATTCCAGTGCTGATTACCTAAAAAAAATTATAAGGGATCAGGCAAGTCATCTAATTAACAAGTAATTTTTCAACAAAACCAAATCAATGGGCTATAAAAATATTTTGAATAGAAAAAAATGAAAATAGACAAGGAAAATAAATATGATACTCAGTTGCTGAAGCCCTTGTCTGAGCCTGACGGTACTTATTAATATATATTTATTATTTTGGATCTACGAAACTTATCCTTTGCGCATTAGTCACTTTTAACTGTATATTAACGTATACCAAGTAATTAGCAGAGGTATGCTCCGTTATCTCAGACACGTGCACAGGATGAAAAATACGGAAATACAACAAGAAAATTCAGAGATGTGGAAGCTTGGGAAGATTAAAACTTAGATTTCACGATCAAATCGACTGCAAAATCGGCGAGCATATATGAATGAAGAGAAATGAAAGTCGTGTGTACACATGGCGCTAAGTCGTAGCCAGCAAGAGATCTGACGCAAAGGTAGAAATAGAATAGATACGTTACCGTTTGACTGGTTTTGTTGCACACCATCACAACTCGATCGAAGTATATGTCCATGTTGACAGGCTCACCTAATTCGTCCATTTCCTCTACCCATTGCACTGACACGTTTAGTTGTAGTCCTTCTGTGACATTAGTTTGTATCATATTCTCTGTGATCTTGCTGTCCGTCTGATACAGGAAGTAAATCACTATGATGTATGGATACCTGTGAACGTATGAATGTGAATGTTGCTCTTGAATGATGAACTGAACATTGCTTTTTTACATTCAACATTAGCTTTGGTTAGTTTTTGTAAGATATACATATCTCAATGTTATTACTAATGTTAAAGCTGATAAGTTTTTGATGCCCATTCTTTTTATCAATCAAAAAACTTCCAAAATGGACCACCCATTTTGGAAGTTTTTTGATTAGGTAGGTAAATTTTCTTGGATATTTTAAAAGTGCCTCTAACACTTTTAAGTTTATTTGAATATATATCTCGAGCTTTTACTTTGGTAGTAGTGGTCTGCAATTGTGCATATTAAGTAATTGTCTGGAAAAATATATCTTCGGGTGATGGCTAAATTTTATTTGTTTCCCTGAGCTTATCCGTGCTTCGGGAGGTTTTTCAGGGTGAGGTTGATGGTGAGTCCTGGTTTAAGACACACCAAGATAAACCAAATGAAGTCAATGCGCTATCAATTAAATAGCTTAGAACAGATAATGGCATGTTACGCGTCAAAATCTATTTTTAATTATTTGCATATTCTATACGATTATTGTGAAAGGTTACAAATTGAGTAACATATTTAACAACTTTTCCAACAAAAACCAGAAATAGAATAAAGTTTTGGGAGCACCATTTGGATTTTTTACTTACATTTCAATTACATCACCTTTCTCGTTCAGTAAGTAACTGTTGAAATGATTTTTATGCTAACAATATTGTTTACTAATTTAGCTCAGGATGTTTAGTACTCGTGGAATGGAGTGGACAATTCCTTTCTTAATTATTAAGTAAGATTATCAAGCATTTACCGATTGAAATTCTATTAGGAATAAAATAAAATTTAGGTTGATCCTGTATTTCTACTTTCCAGTGTCCTTATTAAGTGTAGTTGGAATCTCCAGGGGACCTTTTGATTCTGGGTTAGAATTTCACATCGTAGTACATCGTATCGTAGTCGTTATTAATGGGTTTTTATAACCACCTGTTCTGCGACTGAACTGCGTCATACCACACCGTTTATTTCGTCCTAGGTTCCCACATACAAAATTTTTAACTATCTTCAAAAAAAAGGAGGAGGTTCTCAATTCGGCTGTATTATTTTTTCTTGTTTGTTACCTCATAAATTTTTACTGGGTGGACCGATTTTGATGATTCCTTCTTTATTTCAAAGCTAGTGCGTGACTGATCTGGCAATGGTATCTATGAGAAAATCATATAAGTCTTAAATTTGTATTAAGTATGTGTGATGTTTGTTACCCCAAAACACAAAATATCACTAAAATGCATGAAATAAAACATAAAAAAGTGTAATCGACTTCAAATTTAAAAACGTGAAAAATAATACTTATCTTAAAAGCGGTTCAATGTTTTAAGAAACATTGAAGGCGGGTGGTTAATATTTAATTAACTACAAAAAAACCTCTTTTAAATTTATACCGCTTTTAAGATAAGTATTAATATTCACTTTTTTAAATATGAAGTTGGTTCCATATTTTTTTAAAGCTTTTTATTTACACTATAAAATATATCAAGTTATCAAGCTAAGTTGCCTTTCATTTACCCAAGCACCTAACCCGTCACACAGCGACTACCCGTGACCTTCATCAGACCGTCGGTCCACCAGATTATGTTAGGGTCAATGTAGTAGTAGTAGGGAAGTTTTCCGGTGCGTGGTCACTATCGATTGCAATAAGGATAAATGAATCCAGTGATGCGTCAGATCTCAGAAGTGCGACCGTGTGACTCTCTATCCATGACTCTAGAAAATAAAATATCTTACCGATGTCATGGTGATATTTCTTTTCATTACACTCATAGCCGCACGTAACGGTACACACCACCACGTTATGCAGACCTCTGTTGGTAGGGAATTTCTATACGAAGCGTGGTTGGTACAAAGTCCACAATGTATCCTTATATTTTATAATGTACTCGTATTATTATTATTATAGTCTGACGACGGAGTTCTCCTTTCAGGTAAAGAATTATTTATGATTTTTAGAGCGTAGGCCTAGAAGGCTTATTGCGTAACAACATATTTGGATTTATCGCGTTACATTTTCTTCGATTTAGTTGACATTGGATTCAATCATAACACACTCCGCATTCAATACTGTATTGAACGTGGAGTGCATTTGATTCAACTTGATGTATTTAATTAATGTAGGTACGCGGTAGGACCCCAGATTTGGGTTGTGGTTCTACAGGTGATAAGACAATAGGGAATATACACATTTTTGGAAAATGATTTTAATTGATAATTTACATCGATATATAACTGTTTAAAAAATACCCGGCACCGAAAAACTAAAATTTTATAACATTAATAATTGATGAATATACGTAATAGCTATGGGCAGTTTAAACACCGGAATTTTTGGCGCGCTCGTCGTGACGTCAAAGTACACGACTGGAGATATGATATTTTAAATCAATATGGATTTTGAGTGATTGAGCATTATTCAATAACCCACGCATATATATTGCAATAAGAACTAAAGGGAAATTGCTGAAATCGCCGTCAAGTTAAGTGTCGTTAGCCCGCGGACCGTGGTGGACACGGTGTAGGATATAAGTTGTATTTCAGACGTTGTCGCAATTTTGTAAGCGTGATGCAGGTTGCGTAACACGATGTAAGTTGCACAGCTCGTTACTGTATATATTTTTTATTGTATTTGTTATTCTAAATATTGTAACTAAGTCTTACACTCAGTTGCACAAACGTACATCGAAATGATTATTAGTGAATGTAAAGCGACTTTATGGAAATCAATTTTCACTTGTAATTAAATTACTTAAATATTGGACAATATCACATTCATTGCTCAGATTCCAAGATGAAGTAGCACAAGCCCCCGTATTATGGAGTATCCGAGACAAAGAAGGTACCACAACATCTAAACCCGAGGCAACATAGAAAAGTAAACGTTTGTGCAACTGAATGTTAGCGCCATGACTTAAATGACGCTGCGTCACGAGTCTCCAGAAGTTTGAAGATTTGTTCAACGTTTTGTGCAGGTTTCCGTTTAAAAAGAATCTGCAGCACATCAGGGATGTATCCACGATGCCCAAGGCTATTGTGAAGTGTGGCACCGAGACTTACAAGCTGCCCCCCCTCACTGCAGTCTCGTGCATCATCACCTCGGGCTCTTTCATTCTCGACTTTAATATTCAAGGCATAAGGTTCAGACATTACGATTATTTGTTGGTGAGTTATATTAATTTAAAACTGCACCTAGACAGATATAAAACAAGCTGAGAATATTTAAGTGTGCGGAAGAAATAAAATAATGCCCCACCATTATTATGAACTGAAATTAATAACTATTTATAATAATTCCTACTAATATTATGAATGCGAATATTATTCTGTATGTTACAATTTGACATCTAAAACCGAATTCAGTGAAATTTGGTACAGAGATGGAATTTGGAAAAAAGAGTTGAAAGGATTGAATAAGGGAAGGAAAGTTTTTATGGAAGTTCTCCATACAAAGTAAATAATAAAGAAATTTAATTATTTAGTAGCAGTTATTAACCCAAATAGTTGAAAGTTCTCGGTTTGGCTGGACGCGCGATGAGACAGTGCAATTATCCTTGTGTACTGTACAGTGTACTGTACTGTACAGTGTACAGTACACTAGAATAATTGCACTGTCTGTAATTGTAGTAAAGTTAGTATGTTATTTTCTTAGATACTGCCGAACGGTCATTCGTTTTACACCAAAGAGCCATTCTCGCCGCTCGTTTGTGATCATCACGTCTGCGAGTGGAACTACACCAACTTTTATGGTGGTAAGTATCTAAGTATTGGAACTGAGACTCGGGACCTATGTTTTTTTTTTAACCGGGGTAGAAATTTCGTCGGGCGTCCTTCTTTTAATCCCCCGTACTGGTGAAGCTGGATTTTATATAGTCATATTTTTGTAGTAAATGACATTTTAAGGGATTTTAAAGCGTCTCCCTGCCATCGTAGCGCATAATGTGTATTGGTAAAGCTCGTTCTTTTTGTAACTATACATATTAATTATACTAAAAGGTATTATATAAATGGTGTTAGAGGGCGCCTAGCCCTCTAACACTGGCGACCGGGGCAGGTGCCCCCACTTTCCCTTTTTCCGCCCCTAGATCCGTGCCTGCTGAAATTTAATCCGTCTTATTATAAAACGAGGACTAATGTTAGTACCCGGTTTTAACTACTGTCAATTAAAGAAAATTGTCGACTTATTTTGGTCGGATGATGGTTAAAATCTGGTACTAAAGTTAGTTCTCGTGTTGTACATTGAACACGGCAGGTAGTCGGATTAAGCAATTATTATCTATAAAAATATCGGTAGTCATTTGTGTTTTTAAATGCTATAAAAGAATAAATAAATAGAATGTTATAAATATAAAAGTTTTGTTTGTTTGCTTCGAATAGGCTCTCTAACTACTGGTTCGATTAAAAAAAAATCAACTTCGGAAAGCTAGAATATACGCGGGTGGTTAGAAAATGAGTTAATATTCTATATAGCAACAAATTATATATGCCCGGGGCATTATGGACAGTGGTCGGAATTAGGTAGAGTTATTCATGTACTTACACTGATTTCATACAGCGAAAGAATAAAGTGGATATGCCTCAAATCCCGAGATTAATTTTAAAGAGCGGAAAAAATCCCGTGATTTTTTAAATAAAAAGTTATTTACTTTTACACAATTTAAACTACTGCACGCACGACGTTGCCAAACTTACATCAATGAAAGAAAGAAATAAAGAAAGAAGAAATAAAGAAATCCCGGGAAGGTCTACATTAATATCAACATTTCGATGCAAGTACATAAATAACTCTACCTAATTCCGACCTCTGATTATGAATGATACCTTAGTTATCACTTAGGCTATAACATACATTTATGCTCCGCGAGCTGAATTCTATTTGCTGTAAAAATATATGTATTTAATTTCTTAGCTCGGTGGCGTAGTGGATAAGCGCCGCGGCCCGCGATCGTTGTCGTTAAGCAACTTTCGCAAGGGTCGGTCACGGGATGGGTGACCAAAAAATTTTTATCTCGAGCTACTCCGTGCTTCGGAAGGCACGTTAAGCCGTTGGTCTCGGCTGCATTTACAGTCGTTAATATCCTCCGATCCGCATTGGGCCAGCGTGGAGGGTCATGGCCCATCCTCCTTAACCATCCATAAGGAAGGCCTGAGCCCCTGCAGTGGGGACGTAAAAGGGCTGGTGATGTGATGTGATGAAATTCTTAGCACCGTATACAGTTAAAAACTTCATTACTGTTTTGTTATATATTATCTATTTATCTGTCAGGTCCGTTCATAATACCCGGTGATCCTGGTATGGGTTTGACGCCGATACCACCTTTCTTGGAGCAGAGCACTGAAGCTATACCTCCGTCTACTGAACCCTCGAATGGCGCGTTCACTGGCAACATCACTTGTAAGTATTTTATTAAATAAATAAATAAATATTAGTCACTAGCTGACCCGGCGAACCTCATACCGCCATATACCCGTTTTTTATAAATTATATCTTTTTATAAATTTTCTTATAAGTATACATACCTTGTCCTAAAGTGTAGTCGTGTGGAAGTTATGCGCGTACATACATTTTGGAAAGTCATTTATATACATATATATATTAGACAACATCACATACATTGCCCAAATTCCGAGATGAATAGCCAAAGCACCCGTATTATGGAGTATTTGAGACAACGAAGGCACCACAACACCCTGACCCGAGACAATATAGACAAGTCCATTTTTCTACAATGACTCGAAATGACATGGACATACATAAATATTTTACAGATCACTAAAATAGATATATAGGGTTATGGGTAATTAAACTGGATCCTTTTAAGGGGTCGTAGGGAGGTCATTTATAATTATTTTCACCTCACATTATGTATTTGAAAGTGAGCCATTTTTTAATAAATTGTATTTATTTCTTATTTTTTAAGAGTAAAAAAAAAATATCGTCAGAATCTAATTTTGTTGACAGTTTTGGAGATATAACATTCCAGTTCGTGATAAATAATAATAAAACCCAAATAATCTTGACCCAAACAGAAACTAGTTTTAAATAAAAAAAAAAGGTTTTTGTTGTTGTAAAGTTGATAAAATGTCTTTCGGATATATAATGTGGGGTAAAATAATTATACCTAAATGAGCTCCCCTACGACTCCTTAAAAGGATCCAGTCTAATTACCCATAACCCTGTATATAGTCGAACAAAATGTTCAAAACAAGTGACAACTCGAGCGCGAGAAATGAGAAAAGAAAAGCAGACTAAACTTTTGATAGGAAATGGGATTTAGGTTGTGATTTGAAGATGTCTAAAGATTTCGTCCGTCCGATAGATCAGGTGGAGAGTTCCACAATTTTAAAGTCTGTACTGTAAAATATGGCCTATAGAATTTAGTGAGGTTGGGAGGTATGAACAATATACAGTTATTAGAACAGCGATATTTGTTTCGCAGATTCATTAGAGGGTTGCTGGTACATGTTCCCACCGAACTACGGCTCCATAGCCGGAGTGAGCTATCTAGATCCGCTCTCTGTCAACGAGTACCGGTATACTTGTCAGGGGTCCAACAATAAGGTGACTTTAAATTTATAACTAGAACCGATATCTGCATTTTATAACTGGAACTAGCTTTTGGCCGCGACTTCGTCCGCGTGATAAAGTTAGTTGCCTACGTCATAACATCTACCTGCATGCCAAATTTTAGCCCGATCCGTCCAGTGGTTTGGGCTGTGCGTTGATAGATCACTGTCAGTCAGTCACCTTTGAGATATATATATATTTAGATTAATATTTTCTTAGCCTCGTCCCAATACTTTTATTAGGGTTGACCCAATATGTTCTAAATCTATACTAATATTATAATAAAGAAGAAGCATTTGAATGTTTGCTTATTTGAAACGTATCGTCTCCGAAACTACTGGGTTGATTTAAAAAAATAACTTTCACCTACGGGAAGCTACACCATATGCAGTGGATATAAAGCTTTATTTCATCCCACAGATAACCTATTCTATCCCGAAACATAGCATAATGAAAGTAACAATCGTTTACCATATGTCATTGTAACTTTTACAGCTTTAAGTCATCATATGAGTTGATATTCAAATAAACAGTTCAGCAGCTAGTATTTTATAAGCTTTCCGTACAAGCTACTCGTCGATAAAATATTGTATTGTTTAAAGATATGTCTGATCAGTGTATTCTCGTACGTGTCGGCAGCAGGGCTTGTACTGGTACCCGCAGTGGATGGGCTCCCCGCCCCACCACCCGTACCCGCAGTCGGGCGACACTCCCGCGCAGATGCAGCGCGCCCCCCCCGGGCCCTACTACCCCCACCACCAGCCGAACAACCCGCAAATGTACTTACCAAATCAATAAATACGATACCAATCATACTATGCTTTTTATTTATGAAACTATTAGATTAAGTTTTGTTACTCGATAAATTCTTTAACCATAGTTGAACTCCGTTTTATGCAGGTTTCGCTGATAAATATTAATTGATACTTAAAAATTTATTGTTCGCTTGAGTATCGAGTCTAAGCTAGAAAATTAACCAACCCCATGTGACGTTGGCAACATTGGTCCGAAGTAACAATATTACTTACAAGAAATTTCGAGTTTTTCCTGTTATATGAACGCGAAGTGCGAACGGTTAGATTTTAATTATTTTATTTAAATTTAATGCTTATGTTCACATAATAAGGTTTATTCGCCTATAACGTTACTGAGAATCCTCGCATACGTATAACTTTTTAATACAATTATCAAATATCGGATTTTTCAAACCCTGGTTTAAACTGCATTAGCATAAAAATTAAAGATTAAATCAATTGAAGAAAATTTCTTTGCAAATTTTGTAACCTATTTATTTATTTAAACATTATATTGTCTTAGTTTATGTAATGGCAATTCTTCGGTTTTGGAATTCTTTTATCCATCATTTAAGATTCAAGGGTCGCTGCAAGTCGGAGGGAAGATCATGCGTCTCACAGAAATACGTGACGCATCTTCCGTCGAGTGTGTACCGACCCTAATAGATTTAAAAGGCGTTTACAATAAAAACAATTTGTTCATAATGAAAAACACTTAAAAAATCCACTTTGTCCCTGGCACTCGAACCTATGACCTTTCGGAATCCGGGCGACTGTCCTTATCACTAATGCATCCAGGACCTAACAAGGCTGAAGAATTTTTCAAGCACTTATTATTTTTTTCGCTACTTTAGAGCGTATTTTCATCAATGTTCAGGCAGTCCTTCCAAACAGCCGAAAGAATATCTTTACAAATATTTAAACTTTCGATAAAGATCAAAACTTGTTCTTAATTATTATATTTGATTAAATTTGCATTCACAATGCTATAGAGAAAAATATTCTTAATGAGACATGCTTAAATAATCCACTTTGTCCCTGGCACTCTGAGATGGGACTCAAATCCATGATCTTTCGGAATCCGGCCGACTGCTCTAACCACTGATCTACCCAGGACCTAGTGTAGCATTGTAAATGCAACATTGAACAAATATAATAATTAGAATTAATTTTGACTTAAAGTTCTGAGATGAATTATTAAAATAAAAACGTGTGGTTTTTTTTTATTATATTTATTTATTTTGCTAAGAATATTGAGTGTTATAATTATATGTAACCGGGTCTTGTTCGTGCATTATTTTAAAACTATTTATTTACCTCGCGAGTTACATACACCTCATGTCCTTTCCACTGAACGAAATTACTATTCAAGGATTGTTCGTGAAGCAGTTGAAATAAAAAAACACAACAATTTCAACCGGGAAAATGGATATAAACTCTCACCAACGTGGAATCCGATTATAAAAATGTGTAAGTGTCGCGATTGCAAACAACAACGAACAATATTTTCTGATACCGTAAGTGCAGTGTGTCGTCACCTTTACGTACAATAAAATCAAGTGGAGGGTACATCTGAAAATCAGTTTAACACATTATTACCGGATTACCTTCACGCCTCAACTTAAATCGGAAGACGACACCCGCCAGTTTCTCCAGTCTCCTCGTGACCACGGCAGCTGCAACTAGGGTTGCCACCTTTTTTTCCCCCAATTAAAGTACGTTCGTTATTATAGGTACAAAAACAAAGTAAATTGAATCAAAATAAAGTATCATTTATTTTTCTTTATTACTAAACTTAAAAATACATTTTCTTTTTATTTATCTATTATATACTTATATACTTACGACTAAGCTTCAAAATCACAAACAAATCAAATCATACGACATAAAGTATTTTCGTGTACTTTATTTTTCTTATAGAGTATAGAGTACAATTGTCTGAAATAACGTACAATACTTTATTATAAAGTACGGGTGGTAACCCTAGCTGCAACGTAGCCGAAACGTCGAGGTAAATAAATGCTTGTTAGTGGCTACTAAATATGGACGATGCAAGGTACAGTTTAAATAATGAATGAGTGTGCGCTTCCACTAGTAGTGTTACATCCAGTAACATCATACCACTTTACTATGAATTTATAGTCTGTAAAAAAAAAGTTGCAAAGGAATCGGTACTATACATCCAACATAATAAAAATAACCATATCAATTTTTAATAACTTTATTTCATAATCATAATTTACACAAACATAACGAAATCTAGAGTCAACTCCATAATAGCGAGTCATAAAACTATCATTTAGAAAAAAAAGTCGAATGCATCTCCAGTGTAAATAAGGGACATACATCATTGCACAATTTACTATAGTTCGGAGCCAAATGTTCAAAAATACATTGACTGTAATTGTTTTTACATATAAAAAGCCGTTTACATACTATATCTACTTATATGCTACATCGAAAAATAAGAACTATGGTTATCACACGTTATATGTTACTGCTTGTACCACATCTTCGTTATATGGAAATGAATAATTAAGATTTCCTTGTATCTATTGGCGACGATTGAGCGCACCAGACGCGTATAGACACAGACACAGACCGACACATATCAACAGACAGCTTTTGTCTTTCAGTTTAGATTGTCCAATAGAGATGACGACTGGGTAAAAAAAAACTATTTAGTCCGCTACATCGTACATTATAGAAAAATACCTTTATTTTTTCCTTCAATTTAAACAAGAAATGATAATAGGTATTAAAGTCGAGGAGTGGGGGTTCGCTATGTCAGTTTTGTAGAATATGTATAAAAGTATGACGTGCGACATTTCATCTTAATGTATTAATTGATTATGCAAAAAATACGTATTAAATATTCTTCAATAATCCACCTGATGGACAAACAAACAAAACTAGTCGACATCCCTATTTCCAAAACGTCCTATTCCTAATATGTCATATACCGACATGTCCAATTTACTTTCATAATGGGGAATATGTACACATATGAATAATATACTATGAGGATTAATTCTACTAGTTTTCTACATATTATTCATAGTGTATTCAACAAACCAATAATCGTAGTAGATTGGACATTTCGGTAATTGGACATTATAGGAACTGGACATTATGGGAATTGGACATTATGGGAATTGGACATTATTGGGAATTGGAGATTATGGGAATTGGACATTTTGGGAACTGGACATTTGAGACTTTGACACTTTGTAATCGTTGTAGATTTTGGAAATTGGACATTCTAAACTGAAAGGTCTGTTTGCTCCATTCACGCTGCATATAGACACAGAAAACGTGTAGACATAAAACCGCGTAGACACACCGGCGACGGTAGCATCTGTTAGCCTCTACGAGGTCGTGTTACTATACGAATAAATGTCTGCAATAGACACTGCAGAAAAATATTATGCCTGCGCAATACATTAATAGAAACTGTATATAAGAATATTATTAGGTCTGCGCCGACAAGTATCTGGCGCGCTCAATGTATATAGATATAACCTAAAGACATCATACAGGTGCATTAAATTGAAAGAGGGTAGTTTTATTTATTTGTAATAGATTATAATAACAAAGAAAATGTCAAGGCGGAGGTCATTTTAAAGTTGAAAATTGCTCAACTTCTTCATTATAAGAAAACATTTCAATCTTCATTGTATCATAAGCACAGCACGCTTTGTTTTCTCCGTAATATATTTGAGACTTAAAAAAATATTTTAATTTCAACTTTGTGTTGATTATATTTATACACTATCGAGTTTATAAAAAAAACGAATAAACCCATACACTAACACCCAGTTGCACAACAATCCATTAAAATTGTCATTAGTTTAAAGTTAATTTTTATTTTAAATTAAAAAAAAATTAAATTTAAATATAACATTCATTAGAGCTTCAGGTCATTAAGTCTTCTTCTTTCTTTATTTTTAACTTTAATGGCACTGCGTCACCAAAATACTGCCACGTAGGAGACCATTACACAATTTCAATACATTCATTGAACCAAACAATTTTGAATTACCAATTCTATCTTTCTACATGGATTTACCAAAAACAACACGTTATCGATTATTAATACGTTAATTAAAGAATTATTTTATATAAACAATCATTTAATCATATCATTTTGAATCTAACCACAGACAATTATTAAATTAAATAATTGTGTTAAAGTAAGTCAGCGAAAGATAACACCACTGATGTTAAAGTTTTAATTGATTAATACTGAAAAATTTAGTTAGGGATTTGACTACTAATTGACTGAAGAACAAATATGCAACTGGGTGTTAATCTCTTGACAATTAAAGGTAGCCAGTCATACATATATGATGGAGTTCCGGGACTTCAAAACAGAAACTGATATTTATCTTATGACATTCCACCGTGCACGTTCAGCCAGTGATTCGTCGCGAACTAAAGCATAATTACGTGCTACGCTCGACGGATCTTTCGTCAGAATAACTCTGACCTTCAATTCAATATATGTTTTATGTTTATGCATATGTTTTATTGTGCTGGTGTGAACCCGATTATTAAAACAATCAATTACAAATAAATAAAACTGTTTGGTAATAAACCACCAATGGAATGGTCTGGAGAAAAATTTGGAAAGACCAATGCAATCTAGACGTTACCTATAAATATAATAATTAATGTGTATTACATTGGGGCAATGTATTATATAAACCGCATCGTTCATTACAAGAAAAGTAATACCAGTACTGTTACCACTATTGTCGCTCGCCGATCTTGACCTGCGACCTGCGCAGGAGTAAATTTCGAAATGAAAATGAAATCAGAATGATTCATGTAAAAATCATATGGCGATTGAGACGAAAACTTGTATTCTGATTATTAATTTTAATCATACATTTCAGTCGTCATTGGAATCAAATGAGATATAACATCAGATTTATCGTAAAGATGGTACTGATTTTTCTTTTCAAATTATGTCATTTTTTTTAAATATGTACACACCGCCACATTTCAGGTTACCACAATATTACAAATATCCGTAGTTGATTTTAAGCTTGCCTCTAAGCATTAAGTTTCGATATCAATTGAAAAATTTTGACAGTAACCTCATGTGCTGTTGATTGCTTTAAACTAGAAAAATCTGTCGATGACAAAGTTCGATCAAAAACAAATCAAATGCAGAACTGAGACTTTTCTGAGCTTACAGAAGAAAGGATTTTTTAACAATGTCGTGTTTCCAAAACAAAATCCGTGTTACAAAAAAAAACAAACACTAAAACAACCCAATGTGCAACTTACCCTACCAACTGTTATTCCTATAGCGAATTAAACAGTCCTTCAGTCATTCTACACTTATACATATAAGATTTATACAATATTGTGTTGGATAAACATTTATTTTAATAAAGTTATAAACTGAACTCGTGCTGTCCTTGTTTCTCATTTCGTTGAAAATATTTTGAAGTGGAATTATATAACAATTTGTAATAATAGTTGTACAGTCTGTACGTGATAAGTTTTTTAGAACAGTTTTGAAATATTTTAAATTTCATGGTCAATACTATACAGGGTCTTTTATAACACACCAGCAACTAATCAGTTAATATTAATTACACCAATCAACAGTTGCTTTAAAGTTTTAACACAACAAAAGTATATTACAGGACCGTAACTCTTAATATTATGTACAGATGATAAATCATTCATTCGCTTTCATAATAATTCTAATAATGAATGCTCTTTAGTAATGTATAAAATACAAATGAAACAACAATGCAATCATCAAATCCGATGAATTTAATGATATAAATTGAAATCAATCTCGATAATTCCAATTACACCATGAAAAATTAACGATATCGTTCATTTGAAATCTTTCAAAAAATATCGCAACAGCAATTGCTATCACATGTGAAATAGCTTTAGCGTTAAATTCTTGAATATCCATCAAATGTCGAATTGGAAGGGATTTGTGATAGATTTTGAAATTATACAATTTGCACATTGGTAGAATGAAAGATGTTTTTATTTTACTAGTTGCTGGTGTATTAACACCCTGTATATTATGTTGCCGCGTTAAGTTATCAAACAAAAGATAAATTTGCATTGTTTTCGATAATGATTTCATCGAAGGTGTGGTTTGCGTATATACATTCGATATTTCAGATTAAAAATAAGCAGACTTCCTTTTAATATTTTCCTTTCCGAATGTAACTTATATCTCTGTACTACAGATAACATTTAACACTTTAAAATTCTATGGCCGGATTTGCGCATACAAATTTAAACCTTCTGTTCAGATTCTTCTAGTTCAAATTCCTTCTCCCAACTCTCATCGGAATTGGCGCTAGCGTCGTCCTTGACTTCTTTCTCGCCGAAGTAATCTTCTACTAAGTTTCCGCAGTCATCGGATTTTGTCTTCTTCGGCGAGCGGCTCTTCTTGTCTGTGATTTTCTTATTGTCTATGGTCTTGTTGTTCATATTGTCAATGGTCTGTGGGTTGTTTGTGGCGTCCGCGTTGTTATTGGTCACGTCGCGCGCTGTCTTCTTGTTCGTTTTCTTTGACGCTATCTCTTTCTCGTATTCTTCTAGCAGCAGTATTTGTTGTTCCTCAGTGAGTTCCACGTCGTTTGCGAAATCTTCTGTGTCCAAATTGCATTTATTATTTTCAGTCTTTATCGTTTTTTTTTAATATATAAAATAAAGGGAAATAATTAGAGACAGCCTTCGAAAATAAAATAATTTAACGTACTACGGATTACAATTTGACGAATCACTTTTTTATAAATTCTATCTCATACAATCTCTATAGATTGTAATCTGACGGAGTTAACTCTGACAGATTATAATTTATAAAAAAGTGATTCGTCAAATTGTAATCCGTATACAGATCATAATTTTTTCGACAATTTACCACCTTGCGGGATATTTTATAATCTATCGGTGCCCTGTACATATATATAACATATCCCTGCATGCTTACTCTTGAACGCAATTGTGACGTTTCGTACTCTTGATTTGGTACACTAGCGCCAAATGGCTCAATATTGCGTGTGTTTTTGAATGAATTATTATCGCGAATAATTCACATTAGAATATACTATTTTCATCAAGTTCAAAACAAATAACTTGTGGGAATCTGATTATTTGGTCAGTAATAAACTTGATTTGAAACTATGAATGTCTTATTATTTCATAATATCCCTAAATATCGGTAATTACAATAAGATTTATTGATTCTTGAATTAACTCACCGTCTTCCCAGGCCACGGCGCTGTCCACGTCCGAACTGTCATAAGGTTGATTCTTCAATGACACTTTCTCTGGGGAAGGGGTTTCGCATGTGGGTGTTGCTGTCTCGCTCTCAACACCAGACAGAACTTTCTTAGGACTCCTACAAGATAAACATTGTAAAACTTAATATTTTTCACAATTACTCGATAGTAATAAATTACATGTATTGTTAAATGGAAACAGTGGACTATTTGTTTTATATAATTTCTAAGTGTATTTTATTATAATAAAATTAACTTTCCATTTATAATCTGTGGATTGCAAAAATCTAACCAAATTCTTTAAGTGCTCGATCGCTTAAAATAAATTTCCAAGTGATTACATTAATGCTTGTATTAATGTTACAAAATGTGCAAGGATTTATAAAACATCAAAACCAGTACTTTAGTGTATTGAAATGTGACGTCACGGCATATAATGGTACGTGACGTTTTAATTCAATGTTTCAAAATATGTTTTTTCTTCATTTAATGATACTTTTTTTGAGGAAAAAGAAATTTGATAGTGGTTTTTATATGATCATATGAAAATTTTGAAATATTTTCCCAAAGTATTTTAAAATTTTCATATGGAGTCAAGTAGCCAATCAATGGTAGCCATTTTATTGATTTAATTAAAAACGATTTATATATTATCTAACGCCTATGGATCTTGGAATGTGTATTACAGGAAAAATATAGTTTTTTTTATAACCGACTCTCTGAATTTCCTGTAAGTGTAGATAAATAACTATATTACTTATTTTTTATTTTAGAAATACGTTCAGATTCGCTACATATAGGGTGTAACATTATTATATACCAGGACTTTGTAGGGTGGATAAGTTAATTACAATGAACTACTTTTACCATGGAAGCATAAAAAAAACAGCTGTTTCATACTAAATTATAATATAAAACAGTTGATTGTTTTTCCGTGTATTCAGTGTTGCTCCCATAGTAAATATTATTCAGTATATTTAACTCAATAAGCTCATGAAGTCCCGGTACATAACAATATTACAGCTTATATAAGATTGTGAAAAATATGAATATTGGCCACTTTTTACAGTATCAATAAACTGATCATATTTTGGATATGATCTCGGACAGTCCTTGACGAATTGAGTTACCATGGTCACCTTCCTGCTCCGTCCTCAGATCAATTTCATTCCATATTAATATTGCATTATCATCTAACTTATTTAAGCTTACAAAATTTCAGCTCAACATAAAAAACCGGAATTGGGTCTTTAGTTAGTAAGATTTTACTCACTAAAAAAACTAACTAAATAACACTCAAAGTGAAAAAAAAAACTTGTAATTAAAAAAAGTCGGACGGACGAGTCGGGAGACGGATTCGCGCCCGTAGGGTTCCGTACCGGAAACGAGCAAAAAAAAAAACACATTTATCGCATGAGAGCGCCTTTAAGTATTTATTTTATTCTGGTTTTTATTTATATTTATTTTATACTGTCTAACTTTCACAGTTCACGAGACACAGCCTGGTGAGAGGCGGACTGCAGTCTCAGTAACAGGGTTCCTATTTTACTATTTGGGTGCGGAGCCCTAAAAATGACTCACTGTTCTATCGGCATCTGTAGCGGCAGGTGTGCCATGACGGGGTCGGTGGTGGGTTTCTGTTCTTCTATCGGTTGCTTCCTCGCAGCGGCCGCTAGACGGTCTTGTAGTAACGCCACACGGAATAAATACCTAACAATCATAACAAATATATCATGTTATAGTTATATAATCCTATTGTCATTATAAACAATACTAAAAATCTACAGGGCGTGGCGTAAAAATCTACCGGGCGTGGCGTAAAAATCTACAGGACGTGGCGTAAAAATCTACCTTGCGTGGCGTAAAAATCTACCGGGCGTGGCGTAAAAATCTACAGGACGTGGCGTAAAAATCTACCGGGCGTGGCGTAAAAATCTACAGGACGTGGCGTAAAAATCTACCGGGCGTGGCGTAAAAATCTACAGGACGTGGCGTAAAAATCTTACGGGCGTGGCGTAAAAATCTACAGGACGTGGCGTAAAAATCTACCGGGCGTGGCGTAAAAATCTACAGGACGTGGCGTAAAAATCTATCGGGCGTGGCGTAAAAATCTACAGGACGTGGCGTAAAAATCTACAGGACGTGGCGTAAAAATCTACCGGGCGTGGCGTAAAAATCTTACGGGCGTGGCGTAAAAATCTACAGGACGTGGCGTAAAAATCTACCGGGCGTGGCGTTAAAATCTAATGGGCCTGGCGTAAAAATCTACAGGGCGTGGCGTAAAAATCTACTCGCTCGCACGCACGCACGCAATAGGCTAGTTGACAACTTTCTTTTTATTTCATAAATAAATAGTCCATTAACATCTGAGAAATAATGTTGAAGTAACAGCATGTCTGCGATTAATCGTTTCGGAGATACGGTGTTATGTTTGTAGAATTGCTGCTAGATGGCCGAAAATGGTACCTACAAATTCAAGGCAGTCAGTGACGTCACACGGTGCTACAGCAACACAAAAGTGGAGAGAGAAAGCAATACGCGTGCAGCAGGGGGCTGGATATATAGATTTATTTATTTATAAAAGATGTATATAGTTAGTTTGCAACTGCGATGGTTTTAGTATGTTTATTAAGATTTCGAAGTTTGGTACTATAATAGTTTGGTAGTACCAACAACATAAAATGATAAACAACGAAGTTATTTTGGTCCTGTAAGTCACGTGATAGGTTAGAAAGGTAATATTTTTTAACAGAAAACAAAACTAGAAAACAAAGCCTTGTTGAACGATCCAAATGTCAGAGTTCAACTAGAAAGCTGAGCATAAAAGGCTAGCCGGCCAATTACACGACTTGGCTGCGCCATACATAAGTCACGTGATAGGTTTTTAACAGATAACAAAACTAAAGAACGCCTTGTTGAACGATCCAAATGTCAGAGTTCAACTAGAAAGCTGAGCATAAAAGGCTAGCCGGCCAATTACACGAATTGGCTGCGCCATACATAAGTCACGTGATAGGTTTTTAACAGATAACAAAACTAAAGAACGCCTTGTTGAACGATCCAAATGTCAGAATTCAACTAGAAAACTGAGCATTAAAGGCTAGTCGATTTCATCACTTGTTGCGCCATATCGCTCACAGGGCTTGAAACCGGTTCAGAATCACCCTTTTTTATTTAGGTAAAACCTGTTCTCTTATAATGTCCCGTTCCGGATCAGAACTAAATGCGGAGTGAAATTCGGTTAGAATAAAAACCGGTTAATCGCTTGGTTCGTAAAAAGCAATGTTCTTACATTTTATTTATATCATTTTTAAGCGACGACATTTATCATACCTATTTACGGATATTATAGATAGGAGTGTAGACACTTGAAAACCGCGCTGAAGTTTGTGAGATCATCGTCTGGAGTCATATTTAAACCGGTTAATGAAGAAAACCGTATTTTTAGTGAACCGGTTTAAAAATCCGTTCAAAGGAGCTGAACCTTTGTAACGTTCCGCATGTACTTGCGTCGAACCGGTTCAAAAAAGCAAACCGGTTTCCAAGCCGTGCCACTCACCGCTCCCAGAAGTGGTCGTGCGACACGGCGTCGGGCACGAGGCGGCGGTACTGGTCGCGCAGCAGCGGGCTGGCGCGCAGGCGGTGTATGTGTGTACGTCATATATACATATATACGTATATACGTGTACGTGTACCCACTCACCGCTCCCAGAAGTGGTCGTGCGACACGGCGTCGGGCACGAGGCGGCGGTACTGGTCGCGCAGCAGCGGGCTGGCGCGCAGGCGGTGTATGTGTGTACGTCATATATACATATATACGTATATACGTGTACGTGTACCCACTCACCGCTCCCAGAAGTGGTCGTGCGACACGGCGTCGGGCACGAGGCGGCGGTACTGGTCGCGCAGCAGCGGGCTGCCGCGCAGACGGCGCACGCACGCGGCGGCGGCCAGCGCCTGCCCCCCCTCCACGGTGGCGCGCCACGCCGCGAACTCGCCGCTGCACGCCGGCACTAGGAATGTGGCGTCCACGCGCTGCAACGCCTCCAACTCTTTCTGCACACGCGCACAAATTTTACTTATTATATTTCATGGGTTTTCAAAACTAGATTGCAAGTTGTATAATATTATACCATATATGCGAAATAGTATGAAGTGCGAAACGCTCTCCTAAGTTATGAAAATTTAATATATTTATAATTATGAAAATCATTTTTTTTTTGCATAACAGTTAAATCGTTTGTATTATATTATTAATGTTAAGTTTTTATTTTTTCTTTAAATTATCTGTGGGATTCCACCACAATGTTGTGGAGTTTTCTCGTAAAAATGGTTTTTGAGTTGTGCCACTGTACTATTCAGTGAGCGATATACAAGTAGCATTCTTAAAAAAATAACAGATAGAAACGATATCAAATTTATTAGAACAAATTGACAAATTAATCATAATAAAATTACATAACACTAACATTTAAAAATAAAAACAATTAATAAAATAGCTAATGATTGCAAAAAAAGCACTCAGGTGTCCGGAAGCTATTCACTTCAAAATGCGGCATCCGCTCAACCTTGAATTGGTAATAACATTTCGTGGCATAAGTGAAGTGAGTTTCAAAATGACACAGAAATATAATATCTGAGACACGTTTATTCAATAAATTTTGTTTTGTATTTTTATATAAAAAAATGAATTTGTAAACTAAATGACGTTCTTTTAGAAGTGAATAGGGATTTTTACGGAATCGCTCTGCCGAGGGCCTACTCTAATTGTCGTCGACTGATATTTCAATTACTTTTTATAATTTTGATAAAATCATACTCGTGTATCTGTCTATAAAAGCAATGTGAGGTCCTACCTCCGTTACATTATAAATTATTGAAAAATGTGTTACTTCGAAGTAGAACATTAGCATTTCGAAATTGGAAAAAACGTTTTCGGAGAGGTCTTGCGTTACTTTTTTACAAATAGTAGATATTATTATTGTTAATTTTACGTTTGCTAATACTATAAGTGCGAAAGATGTGTAGATGGATGTGTGTTTTAAGGGAAAATAACTGAAGGGACTATGATTTTGGTAAACGGAGACCGCGTACGTACGTGTAATAGCTTGACTTCATTAAAACGGCTAATGAATTGTCAAAGAGTTAGGCATAATAAAACAGATTAATTCGTACAAATTTTAAAAATATTTTATAACATACCTTGTAAGTAGACAGCATAGTGGTGTCACCAGACGATAGTATGACCTCGGTGTCATCTTCGTCGTCCGGTTCCGGGTTCAATACAGTGCTTACTTGACCTAATAAGAAACATACAATACTATTTGACGTTTCAAAGAATCAAGGGAAATGCAGCGAGATTGTCATGTGTGAAATCAGCGTTAGTGAACATACAATGCGCCGTGAAATATCACGTGATTTAAGTTAATTTGGCATAATTTCGAAACATTCTTATAAGAATGTTTTATTTTTTATTTATTTTAATGCTAACCTGTGCTTTAATGATAGTTAGTGCCACTTCTTAGAAACTTTTCAGGAAAAACAGGTTGCCAAAATTTGCGAAATTTCGTTTACAAAGAAATGAAATAGGAGTGGTATTAAAGAAGAAAAGAGTGAGAGGAGTGAATGCCACACATCAGCGATTCGAACACCATATCTTATATTTCTCTACGAGAATAGTCTTTAAGTATCTATATCTTCATTCTGTGTCTCTTACACGGTAGGAATTACTATATTAGCCAATAAATGAAAGTGTGTTATTTATACTTCTGTTTTATGAAAATCATGTAACAATAGTATATTTATATAACTCTTTTATAGTATAGGTAAGAGAAATGTCGGCCGACAGCGAGTTAGATAGGCAGACGATATAGGCAAAGTGGCAACGGGAGGCCTAAGTATCAGCAGTAGGGACATTAATAGACTGGTGATGATGAGGATAACAAATAATATCACATACCTATGAAGGTACTGAAACTTTTCTTCATAACATTTGCTGGGGACTCTGGTACATCCAACTGTGAACAAAATAATGATCTATCACATTGCTTATTAGCTGCTACCCTGACTTAATAAAATATAAATGTATAGCCAACTCAGCTAATCACACACACTCACACACACACACACACACACACACACACACACACACACACACACACACACACACACACATACACACACACACACACACACACACACACACACACACACACTCTACACTCACACACAATCCCATTCACACTCACGCTCAGCACGCATAGCTTGACGAACTCGAGAACGTTTTGTCTACACTCAAATGTCACTCTTCGTTATCTCGACCCGAGATAATTGACATTTTGGGTGTAGACAAAGCGTTCTCGAGTTCGTCATGCTACGCGTGCTGGACTACAATGAAAAATGTGAACTCTGTATTTAAATTCTTTCTTTAAATAAGCATTTTCTTTTATATATCTTTTAATAGTCATTGTTTACTTATGCCGCCGTATGGCAGCATAATAGCGGCTCTTGATGAGTTTCTTGCCGGTTCTTTTTAATGAAAGCATTAGATAAGCTGCCTTAGATATGCAAAACGATGGAGAGTTTCGACTGTCACATATGCTTGTAACAGCCTGAATAGACAGAATAAATGACTGTGATTCCCTTTTAAATAAATATTACACCGGTACTAAAAAAAATATAGACAAACCTTTAAAGTTTTCCCTATAACGTTTGATGTGGTACTGAATACGTGTGTTGCTTCACTCTTCACGGCACTCCCTATTTCGTCCAGATCTTTCTTCACCATAGTGTAGACTTCGGCTGACTGCGAACCATAGATAATTAATTGTTCAATACACTTTAACATGTACCACCATAGGGTAGTATAGTTAGGGTTCTGTTACCTAAAGGGTAAACGGGAACACTATCACTAAGACTTCGCTGTCCGTATGTCTGTCCGTCTATCACAAGGTTGTTTCCAAGAACCGTGAAAATTAGACAGTTGAAATTCTCATAGGTGATGTATTTCTATTGTTAAAAACCAGAATTATAACTAAATATTTAAGGAGGCTCCCGTACACAAACGTGTTTTTTTATAGTTTTCAGTACGCAACCTTCGTGAGCGAGACCGACTCGCACTTGTTATTGATAAGTTTATTTATCGAAGTACACAAACGTTGAGTAGCTCGGTGGCGTAGTGGATTAGCGCCGTGGCCCGTGATCGTAGTCGTTAAGCAACTTTCACAAGGGTCGGTCACGGGATGGGTGACCAAAAAATTATTATCTCGAGCTACTCCGTGCTTCGGAAGGCACGTTAAGCCGTTGGTCCCGGGTGCATTTGCAGTCGTTAATACCTTCCAATCCGCATTGGGCCAGCGTGGAGAGTTCATAAGGAAGGCCTGAGCTCCTGCAGTGGGGACGTAAAAGGGCTAATGATGACACAAACGTTCTGCTTTATAATATTAGTATAGATTTTCATATAAGTGTTTACGATAAATATTTTAATTTATTCTGATTAAATGTTTATAAAAATAATCTAACGATTTCTTATCAGTCACACGAAATTAAATAAAGGGAATATAAACTATTCGTGTACAATCATGTTTTGTTTATAGCGTCACGATCTTTTTACAAAACAATGGCTTATGTTAGATGTGAACAAGAAATGAAATGAAAATATCTTTATTCAAGTAAGCTTGTTACAAGCACTTTTGAATCGTCCAAAAAACTTTTTTCCCCTACCACTTGTTTAGGACGTCTTTTAGCTGACAAGAAGAATAAGCGAAAGAAACTTACCAGCTTTTCATCATAAGTTATGAAATGACATTTACATAAATCATGTCATTACCAAAATAATATGTATTATCACAATAGTAAATACAACTTTCAAAGTCTGTAGGACATAGGTTGAACATATAATTAGAACAAAGCGAAGGCTATTAATTCCATGCATTGCGATCCTTAAAATTATCATCAACTTTATAACAGCCTTTACTCATAAGTATATTCTTTACATGAATTTGAAATTTATTTATGGGTAGGTCAATTACATTTTGTTACATTACATACATGTATACATTACATTACATTACAAGAAATGACATTCTAATATAATACTTATATTCTTGTTTGAACGATAGGTCAAGTGAGGACCCGCGCACGAACGGTTCCGTACGGTTATCTAAAAAAAAACTAAAAATCATCACGTCTGTTTTGTTGGGAGGGCTTCTAAAATATTAATTTATTGCTATAGCGGCAACAGAACTATATAACAGGGATGATGACTATTTTTGTTTGTTTGTCCGTCAGGTAGTGTTAAAAAATATTAAACACGTATTTTTTTTTATTTTTTTCGTAATCATAAAATTACGGCGTTACATTGAGTTGAAATTTCGCATGACGTCACGTTAGAGTACGTTTTCTACTCAACTGTGACGTAGCGAGCCCCCACTCCTCAACTTTAATGCCTGTTATCTAAGCTATTTCTTGTTAAATTGAAGTAAAAAAAACGTATGTAATATTTTTCTATTATCTGACTGACGGACTAAATAGAATTGCATTTTTTTTACCCAGTCATCATCCCTATTGTAAAAATTTCTACTGTCTAGATATCACGGTTTATACAGCCAGACGAACAGAGGAGTCTCAATAATCATGTTTTGTTTTTACAGGATTGGGAATCTAAATTAGTAAAGTATTTTTTCCATTGAAATAGAAAACTTGGTAATGTTGTTATAAATAGTAGAGTCATGTTGTTTCGCATTACCAATATGATATAGCACATAGGTATTTACTTTTCCCAGTCAATGACCTAAAGCCTAAGGTGCTTGATGTAGCAGGCGGTCGAAACGCTCGCATGCTGGCACCGCGTTTAAATTTTAATATTCAATTATATCTTCAAAGCATATTAAAGTTAAACGTATAGGCATTGCTCAGGCATAGAATTTGAAGGAGAATCTCTTTTCGTTTCTGATCAAGCAGAACGCTGAATTCAATTTCATTCTTCTTACTTTTCAGAAAACGATTAAGATAAATGTAGATAAGACTGCCGTAAAAAGAAACTTTTCTTCGTATTCCTATTTCGGTCACCTTCATCGTTTTTGATTGATAAAACAAGAGCTTTAGCTTAATATTGTGATGTCTTATATTTGTCTATTTATGTATATATAAAGAGTATATATAAGAAAACATAAGATAATAACTATGTTACTATAATATTTGCGTGGATTATAAATCTACAGTGTTACTAATACGAAGAGCAGTCTCAGCGTAAGTTTACTCCAACGCTAAACCTTGTTTAGCGTTGGATTCTATTTAGTCCGTCAGTCAGATAATAGAAAAATATTACATACGTATTTTTTACTTCAATATAACAAGAAATAGCTTAGATAACAGGCATTAAAGTTGAGGAGGGGGGGCTCGCTACGTCACAGTTGAGTAGAAAACGTACTCTAACGTGACGTCATGCGAAATTTCAACTCAATGTAACGCCGTTATTTTATGATTACGAACAAAATACGTGTTTAATATTTTTTAACACTCTACCTGACGGACAAACAAACAAAAATTAGTCATCATCCCTATTATATAGTTCTGTTGCCGCTATAGCAATAAATTAATATTTTAGAAGCCTTCCCAACATAACAGACGTGATGATTTTAAGTTTCTTTTTAGATAACCGTACGGAACCGTTCGTGCTCGGGTCCTCACTTGACATATCGTTCAAACAGAGAGTTAACAATGGTTAACCTAGTACGAGGTTCTATGGGAGTAATATTTGCTCCTAGAAGGTAGTAGATTTACTTATTCTCTGTGTAATATAAATATGGACTAATACTAAAATTGGAATTTTCGCATAAATTTACTCTGACGCTAAACCTTGTTTATAAGTAGCACTGTTAAAGTCCACAGAGGAATCCATGAGAAAAATTTAGAAAATACGAGTACCAAAATGTAATAAAAGGATATCATCAAAAACGTGCCCAGCGTCCAGCGGTCGAGACGACCGTTCCGCAACTGCATCATGCGTGAAACCCTTATGTGACGTAAATTATTTGCAATGCCAGTGTAACGTGTAACATGACCGACAAGAGTACACTGCAGACTCTAATGACTCATTAGATGTTCATTTATAAATGCTTGCGCTTTTAAAAACCGCTAGGTGAAAGTTTATGTATTCGACGATTAATAGTGAAATATTTTTAATAAAGATTGTCGGTTTTAGGGCTCGGTGTCAAGACAAAAGAGACGACATCAATGCGTTTTACGGGTGTTAAACTATTTTTAATTAAATAAATTCTATTTTGTCCGTCAGTCAGACAATAGAGAAATATTAGATACGTATTTTTTTTTGCTTCAATTTAATCAGAAGTAGCTTAGATGGCAGGCATTAAAGTTGATGAGCACTAGGTTTCTCGCTACGTCACAGTTTTGTTGAAAATGTACCAAAGCGTGACGTCACTTGGCATTTTAACTGAATGTAACGCCATAATTTAATGATTACGAAAAAACAATACGATATATAATAAAAAAAAGTGTTCAATATTTTTTCGATAATCTACCTGAGAGACAAACAGACAAAAATTAGTCGCCATTCCTATTACTCGTTTTTTATATAGATGTTTCATTAAGCCCTCTACTATAATGTGACGTAAAGGTTTGGAAATAATGTGGTTAATAATGAATGAACGGTGGCGTAGTGGATAAGCGCCGCGGCCCGCGATCGTAGTCGTTAAGCAACTTTCGCTAGGGTCGGTCACGGGATGGGTGACCAAAAATTATTATCTCGAGCTACTCCGTGCTTCGGAAGGCACGTTAAGCCGTTGGTCCCGGCTGCATTTGCAGTCGTTAATACCCTCCAATCCGCATTGGGCCAGCGTGGAGGGTCATGGCCCATCCTCCTTAACCATCCATAAGGAAGGCCTGAGCCCCTGCAGTGGGGACGTAAAAGGGCTGGTGGTGGTGGAAATAATGTGGTTAATAATTTTCTTCTATCAAGAAAATTGTATTAAATCCTTATAAATGCGAAAGTTTGTGTGGATTTATGTATTGCTTTATGCTTTATAATTTTAACTCCGAAATGGATATCAGTAAAATTTGGTATACAAATAATTCTAAGCTTAAATTAACATTTCACGCAGGAGAAGCGCCTGGCGGAATACTAGTATATTACAATAAACAGTATTGATTAGTCAGACTGTGACCTAAAAACTTTGGATTCTTGCCAAAACATATCTCATGAGTTATGCAATAAATGACAGTGTTATTGAAACCAGTGATCTACCCACCCCCTCCTCCCCCTTGTGTTGGTATCTAGCAATTTTTTCCTCATTTCTTTATAACGTCATTCCAAAGTAATTGCATTTAATGAATATTTAATTACATTGAGTGACTAAAACGTTAGTGTTCTAAAAATAAATATTTTTATTGGCAAAGGAATAATTTATATCCGTATTTCTCAAATTTGGATCACGGCCCATCAGTGGGACCCCTAATGGACGATTCGCTAATTATATCATAAGCGTATGTGTAGCTTCCTGAATGTGAAAGTATTTTTAAAATTGGTTCAGTAGTTTTAGAGTCCATTTAAATCAAACAATCAAAACTTTCCTTTATACCTATAATATTACTATAAATAAGACAGAATTAAATACTTTTACAACATGCCACTACAGAATCCTAGCATTACCATTATTTAAGCCTTTTTTTTTGCTTTTCTCCAAGACAGCTAGGCTATAAGGTGGGTCTTAAGATTGGAAATTAAACGGGTTACATGGGTTGGAGCCCAATCAACTTTGGGAACCACTGTGTTATAATAATTGGATTATTTCTTTTACAGAGTATTTTATACATGAAACTGCTAATGCTATATTATAAAACATACCATAAACACCTACATCTGATACAATACAGATAAATAACTAGATTTAATCACCACATTTTTTTATGACAATAAAGATAAGATCTTTTTTATCTGAGAATTATTAGCAAAACAGAATCACAATTATATATATATTTTTAAAATTATCCTTGATATTGAGCTAATTAAACTGACAAAGAAATGTCTTCTTGTAAAAGAAAAGACAAATACAAAATAATCTTTTGCGTTTTGGATAAACCAAATTTTTTTTACTTTTTGCTGACAATAACAATGAGTGAAAAAAGTCACCAGCTCTAACAGAAGTAATGATGTTTACAAAAATGTCAGAACCTTTTATTTTCGTTTAGTATTCACTAGTAACATCTTTTTTTGGTTGAGATGGGTTTTCCTGTGGTTATCGAAGATTAACAATGTGTGTTATGTATGTTTACCTTTGTTTTGGCAGAACTGATCCAGCTATCCCACCAGTTGCTGGATTGTCTGTCATCGTTACATGGAGTTGTGTCGGCCTCACTGGGAGATGGTTCACCAGACCTGTGCAAATAAAATATTTAACAAAGGCCTTCTAACATTTGGAATTTAAATAAGAACATATAATAACAAATAGATGCAGGTTAGTGTTTTGGTCTGTTATGCAGTGGTTATGAGTCAGCCATAGGAGGGGTCACTGATAAATTATTATCTTGAGCTCCACCATGCTTCGGAAAACACCTTAAATTGATTGTCCTAGCCGTATCGGCAGTTGTTAGCACCCGCCGCTCCGTAAAAAATAAATTTTCTTAAATATATATCCTTTAAAGTTAAAGTAAATAATACTACATCAAAAATAAGAATAAAACCAATGTATCATTATAATGTTTATCATTATAATGAATAAAACCAATTTATCATTATAAAGAGATATATATTCTCTTTATGTGAATTGATATGTATACTAAGTTTTTGCACTTATCAATATAGTACCTATATAAAAATCATGAAGTAATGCACAATGTATAAAAATTTATTGTGTTGATTAATGTTTTATAATAATAACATGACCTTTTGATGAATTGTTAACAATGCACATCTTTCGTACGCAATTTTTTCAATGCCAGATTCATGATAAGAACTTGGGCAGGTATACAATGTTATTTACAGTAAAAGGTAGGTCCACATTCGATGTTTTTTTTTTCTTCAAAGTAATAAATAAACATGTTTTACAACTCCGAACCAATAGGCGTGTAGATAACAGGAGATTGAAACGTGACCTAATAATTAATTTACTGTAAAAGAAAGTATTATAACAATTGAAGAAATCACGTAAATGTGGTTTTGGTCGCACACGGAAATAGAAAATAATTAGATATCTGTGTTAAGAACTAGTTTTTTTGTTTCAAACAAGGCTTTTTATAAGTCTTTGATGATTGATATACGGATAATTTCACTCACTTCTCTGCCATCACGTATTCCAATTGTTGCACGACGAATTAAAGGGAGCACATGGATTTGCAAACATAAATTTGTAGTACTGTTGTTTGTTTTTTTTACACAAAATTTAGAATTAATTTTGACATAGTTTCGTCTGCGTTGACTGAAGGAATTTCGACTGGCGTTTCTTTACACGTAACGTTTATTTTTAATTAAAGAATACATTTAATGAATCATTTCGAATCGATTTGTGGTGCAATGAATATTTTTATAGAGTATTTATCGCCAAATGTTGACATAACTTCTAGATATATAATCTAATACTTTTATATTCCTGAAATATATAAAATAATAGCATCAAATTGCATGATAGTCAATTAATGTGAAATGAAACGTGAACACAGTAAAGTACACAACATCTAAACTAGATGGCAGTAATAGTCCTATTGAAGTATACTACATAGTATACACATGTATAATTCTTATGAGTAACAATGTTTTTCACAATGGATATTTTCACCATAAAATTTGGTAATTGTGTTTATCTTGAAGATTTTTAACAAATAATAAACTTTCTGGTTGTTGATCATAATTAATATTGAGACTTAAATGTGATAAGGATATATATGGGATTCAAAGAAAATTTATACACTTTATTTTATGGGAACAAAGGAGAATTTACCGTTCAGCCTACGTTAGTGATTACAGTATTGTTTTATCTTCCTCCTAAATCAATAAAGTAGTTAATAAATAATTATTTACTTAAACGACATACATTGCGATTGCGACAGTTTTGATCCCTACACTAAGAAGTTTCCAAAAATAGAAGAATGCTAGCTGGCCCGGCGAAATTCGTACCGCCTTATACATTTTTTTTTTAAACTTTTATACAAACCGTGCCATAAATCGTGGAACACATAAAAATAGAATTATCCAATTTGGTGCAGTCGGAACTGGAATTCGGAAGTTATGCGTAACTTCGGCGTTTCGGCGATTCATTTTTATTCATCGATATTTTATAGCCTATTGAACTAATATCGTTGTAATATCGTCAGTTTGTACAAAACCTAAACTTACTATACACTAAAACCTTCCTCAAGAATTGCTCTATCAAATGTTGGAAACCACATGAAAATCCGTCCAGTACTTTTCGAGTTTATCGCGAACAGACAGACAGACAGACAGAAGCGGCGGGAGACTGCTTTATAATATGTAGTGATAATAGCGAAGGCGTTTCATTTTGGTGTAACTCTTAATTTTTTAATATTAGGGTTTAACATACAGTATACAGGTTCCTTGAATTGACATATAATATAATCTTCATGATTTGAGGTTTTCGAAAGAAACTTTTTCTCACGGTTTCTATGATGTTCTTCTTTTAAAAAATGTGAAACATTTGAATATCGACTTTCAATTGTTTTTGTTATTCAACTTAGACAAGAAAGATGGATACTGCGAAAATTCGAGTGATTTTTGAATACGAGTTCCGACGCAGAAGTAACGTGGCAGAAACAGGCCGCAATATCAATGTTCCGTTTGGAGAGGGGTCTGCTAATGAACGCACCGTGCGATTTTGGTTTCAACGCTTTTGACTTAAAGAACGAGCCACGAGGAAGACCACCCACACAGGTGAACAACCATGAATTAAGAGAGATGGTGGAAGCCGATTCTGTTGAGGGAGACCTTCTTGGTTTAAGATCTTTTTAATTTATTTAAATTTAAATATTGACATTTTGACAATCTGTTCTGCACATGCACGTCTATTGTTTAAATATTAAAAGAAAGTCTCTTCGTAAAGCTGTTGTCGGTGCTGTTTGTATTTTATAAAAGTATATATTTTTGGTGGTAAATAAACTCATGTGATCTAAAAGCTCCCTGGTCTTTCTCTATACCCTTTCTACCATCGGGTATCAGGTTATGGGCCTAGAAAGAGAGACCAGGGATGAAGATAAAATAAAATAAAAATGCAGTATTTATTGTGTTGAAAAAATCGATATGCCATAGTGCGGATAAGCATAGCAACAAATGATAAGCATAGCAACGGATGATTGTTAAAAAAAATAAATGATGGTCGAATAAATGAAGAAGTAAAAAAATAATAGTAATGTGAATAATGGCAATAGTTTTGAAAGTGGTTTTAATTTTGATAACATTATACAACATGAAGAAAATGAAGAAGTTTTTGATAATGAACATATGGAAGAAGATTGAAGTCGAGAGGTAGTGAATATTGAAGAAGATCAAAGTCGAAGGAATGTAGAGAATGAAGCAGAAAATAGAAAAAGTTGTGAAGAAATTGAAGGAAGTCGAGCGGTGGAAAATAATAGTAGAAGAAAACAACCTGAAAGAGATAGAAGATTACCAGAAAAATACAAAGATTATATAATGGAATGGAAGCGTCTAAAGTTTTATAGGGGAGTGTAACATTTGTAGTAGTGATATAAAGGCGTGATGTAAACTTAAGGTTCCGATTCAATTCATAGTCAGTTAAAGTATTAAGGAGGTGCGTATATTAAATGGAGTTTTTTCTTGGGTAATAATGATTCATTTAAGGGGGTGAGAAATTAATGAAGTTTTGTAAATAATTTTTAAAAACTAAATGAATCATTATATAATGGCGATAGAAGAGTGAGAAACTAGTTCTTAAAAAAATTTACAAATATTTGGAGAGTGTTGGCCTTAAGTTTTGTTATCATGTTTGTTTGTATTATTTATCATGTTTGTTTTTATTATTATTTTTTAAAACTTATGCATTTTATAGAGTTAGTATAGAATATGAGTTTAAATTATGTTAGTAGAGATTTTCTGTATTGTCGCAATGAGGTAGTAGAGTAGGTAGTGTGTTTAATTTTTTTTTTTGTATAGAAAGAAGTTAGGAATAATTAAGTGGGTTTGAGTAGGAGTTGATTGTTTAAGGTTTTTATGATAAGTTGGATCGAGTAGGAGTTAATTTGTATGAGGTTTTTATGATAAGTGGGTTCGAGTAGGAGTTAATTGCTTGGCTCTCTTCCCTGACAGCCCTCCTGTGGTCTCTCCTGTGCTCTCCCAAAGGCCTGCCGAGAGCCATGACAACGACCTTTCCCTGGTCACGGACGGGGAAATGGAGGGGGCTATGGAGCGACTGCGCCTGAAAAAGAAGGCACCGGGGCCTGATGGTGTCCCGGGTAAGACTCTTCGCCTTTCGCTCAAGCACCTGGGGCCTCACATCAAATCCCTTATGGACAAATGTCTGATCCAGGGACGGTTTCCAGGTAGCTGGAAGAAAGGTAGATTAGTCCTCTTGAGAAAAGATGGCAAACCCGCTGAGTCTCCATCGGGCTATAGGCCAGTCGTGCTGCTGGACGAGGTCTGCAAAGTATTCGAGAGAATCATTGCAGACCGAATCGTCCAGCACTTGGAATCGGTGGGACCTAACCTGTCCGAGCGTCAGTTTGGATTCCGCCGACATCGTTCAACGGTGGATGCCATCCTGAAGCTTCGTGAGGAGTGTGACTATGCTGCTGGCAGGGGTGAGAAATTGATTGCGGTATCTCTGGATATCCAAAATGCATTCAACTCTCTCCTCTTCCAATGCATAGAGGACGCCTTATACTACCACGATGTGCCTCACTACCTCCGCAGAGTTGTGATCGATTACCTCCGAGAGAGAGAGGTGTTGTTCGTCGACGCGTCTGGCTCCATACAGCGCCGTCGCATGGTGTGTGGTGTTCCACAGGGGTCGGTCCTTGGACCGCTCCTGTGGAACAACAGGGCATTATTGAGGAGACCCCAGCGGAGTGTAGCGTCCAGAGCCATCAGAGCCTATTGCACCGTCTCCGGTGGTGCGGCTTGTGCACTGGCAGGGATGCCCCCGTGGGAGCTGGAGGCCAAGCTACTCACGGAGGTCTATAAGGCCAGGAAGGCGTCTCTCGCACGCGGTGATCGTCTGGCGCCGATCGAGATGGTCGCAGTGCGCAGAGAGTTTGAGGAGACTCTTATGACGGAGTGGTCCAGGTCACTTGAGTCTCCTCCCGCTGGAATCCGCACTCTTGCAGCCATCCAACCGGTCCTCCGGGACTGGAAGGAGCGGCGGCACGGAGTGCTTACTTTCCATTTGGTGCAGGTCCTCACGGGGCATGGCTGCTTCGGGAGGTACCTGTACCGAATTGGAAGAGAGGACACCCCACTGTGTCAGCATTGCGGTGCTGGGGAGGACACTGCGCAGCACACCCTCGAGGTGTGCGGTGCCTGGTCCTCCCAGCGGTACGCACTGACGCTGGTGGTGGGCCAGGACCTGTCGCTCCACAACGTGGTTCACTCCATGTTGGGCAGCCGCAGGTCCTGGGAGGCGGTCTCCTCCTTCTGCGAGACCGTGATGTCGCAGAAGGAGGACGCGGAGAGAGCCCGCGAGCTGGCAGCCCTCGCCGGCTCTCGCCGCATTCGTAGGACGGGGGGTAGAAGGCGTCGCTATGCGCGCCCACCCCCGTCCTGAGGTCGGCACGGTCGGTTCCCGTGCCCCGTGGTACTCGTGCGGTACCAGCTGAGGACCTCCCCGGGGTGATGGACACGCGCCAGCGTGTCTGTCGCTCTTGGGGGGGGGTGGACAGCTGGAGCGGCTAGCAGCTGACTGGTTCCCTGGCAGGGTTACGTCTGCCGGGTGCGCCTGTGTCGCTGCTAGTGAGAGGTACATGGGGAGTCGACCTGCGTTCCGCAGGTAAGGGGATTTCCTCTGTGACCCCGGTCTGGTTGCTCGGTTCGGCCGACATACACACCGTTTTTGGTGTGTGTGGCGGCCGGCCCGGGCGGTGCCATGCCGGGGCTGCGCAGTGAGGAGCAGCGGAGCCGGTTGATGAGGCCTGATAGCGCCCTTTTCAGGGCTGTGGTCGGGCCGTACTCTGGTGGTAGCTGCGACCGTACGGGGGGAGGGATCCACGATAAGGGCTATGCCTGTGTGGGTCCTTCCAATAGATGGGAAAGAGACTAGAGATTGCACAGTCGCGCAACTCTAGTCCCTAGTCGAGGGCAGCTGGCTGGTTCGCGCACTAGCCGGCATTGCACGTCCCCGCCCTGTCTGGGGGGTACGTCTCGAATGTCTCTGAGATGTGCCGGCCAACCCGCGAGGGACCTGCCCTTTTCAGGGCGGGCCGAAATGGGGGCGAACTGCGCGGTGTATGGCCTCCGGGCCGATCCCGCGCCTCGCC